AAAATGTATATTTATTTAATTGCTTTTTCTTGTAAGACGGGTTATATATTGTAAGAAAAAAAAATTAAAAAATTAATCATATTTTTAATTATTATAAAACTTAGTAAGTATTAATATAATCTGCATGTAACCAATAGTAATAATTTATATAAACGCAAAAATGTTCGATTTTTGTAAGTCAAAACGAAATTCATGTGTGAACTATCTCAAATATACCTAAGTTGAAAAGCGAGAAACTAAAAATACTTACCGAGTATTAATTTAATTTATATTGAAAGTTTTTGATATTTGTTGAACTTGTATTTGTTACGGTAACGCTGTTTCATTCGATAACACGAAATTATTATAGCCATACATTTTTTGTCAGAAGCGCGTGTAGATGTTTACACATCAAAAAAAATTTAATATAATTTTTGTATTTTTCTGATTTTGATTAAATTCATAATAATAGAAAAATAAAAAGCTAATAGCAAAAAATATTGTGTTTTTGTATTTTCAATATAATTTTGTATTGAATTCCCTTACATTTTTCTTTTTTTTATAATTTAAAAAAAAATAAATACATATGTTTATAAATAGCATAAAATGAGCCAAAATATTTTGAAATTAATCATGACGTCTAGAAAATGCTAATATTAATATTTAGTGATAAATTAAAGTATTTTGATTGAAAATTATAATAAATATTATATTACATAGGTAATTTTTATTGTATCGTAAATATAATAAAACAAAATCGATTTTTTGTTTTATTAAATTATTTTTAAATATATCAAATAGGTAATTAAATTATGAAAATAATTATTTAATCGCAAGCAAAATAAGTTTTTTTTTAAACTGTTAAACTTTTTTTAAAATTGGATAGCTTCTTATATTTTTCTTATACCAGATCAGCAGAACTGCGTTCACATCAATTCATTATAATAAATATCAAAAACCAATCTACAAACGCGAATTGTTCAATTATACTCCGAAGTCAAAATTGAAATTAATTTATTAGAGCTTTGTTGTAGTTGAGTTTTGCATTTTAATTTAAACATCAAACAATATACGCGTGCAGCGTATTAAAGTTATTAGTTATTAGTGTTATTACCGTGGATATATTATTTTACAGACATGTAATAATTAAATCGATTCGTCGTGTGTGTAATTGGGCGGCACGCTACCACACCGTCTTGATACGTACCGATAAATTATTATTTGTATTATTGTAATGTAAATATTACAATAATAAACACTAGGTAATCATTATAAGCTATAACTTAAAACAATGTTAATTGAAAAGTATATTATACAGGTAAATATTACATTGCAGCACAATGGAGAATAATAAAATTGCGCCTAATGGGCATCTCACTTGACCTATATTTCCAGTAAATTGAACAATGACAATTTCATTACGATTAGTATTATAAAGCACAGCACGTCAAACATTATTAGTTTTTATGAATATGCCTATTATATGTAATATGTTTATTATATTCGTGAAGTACCTATAGTTTTCTTCAATTTTTAAGTTTTATGTAATAGATATTTTGGTAATAAAAATAGTGAATTGAATATGCCTTCATACTGAGCTTAATAAATTAACTATTTAATATCTACACTCAGTAGCTTAAGTAGGGTTAATTTTAAGTGGTTGCAATAGATAGTAATTAGTAAGTAGTAACACACATACACATATATATATATATGAACAAATAACACTTGCGCCAATATTCGTATTTTATAATTTAAATAATATTAATATTGTGTAAAATTAATTTATCGATAAAAGTTAATATGGCTATATAGGTACATTATTTTTATTATTTGTTATTAAGTCATAGGTACCTATCTCATATATTTGGTTAATAATAAATATTAACTTGTATAAATTTAAAAAAATGCATAGGTAGTGTCAGAAGAGTACAGGGTACACCGTCTATATTCTGTATCTTATTTTAAGGAAAATCGTATATATTATTAAAGCTGTTGCTGATTCTTCATTTCAGTTATTTGGTAGGTGTGCTAAATTAACGGCAAGCAAAAATTAAATATTAATTAGGCCAATACATATGTACCTATAGATTGCAGAACAAATAACTATAAAAATATCGTTCTCTTCACTTTAATTGCAACTTATTAATATTTTAAAACAAACAAATTGTACAAAAACAGGTGTGATTTCATTGACTAACTACTTTAAATGTTAAAATATACTTCAATAAATTTATTGGTCTATTTTATAAATGAAATATTAATTGCTGGTTTTACTCATAAATTTATAAGCTAATGGCAGAAATGAAATACATCAACAACAATACAAATAACAATTTATGTGTTAAGAAATAGTATATTAAATATTAAAATAAGAAGTAATTTTTTTTTGTAAAATAATCATTTTTGTGAATTAATTGTACATATTTATATAAATTATATAGTGCATCGGTGTATGTAACATAGGATAACTTAAAATTTTGGTCTACATTTGTATATCCTGCATCAATACTGCAAATTACGTCCTTTTAGGGTGGTAGTAAATGAAATTAACGTGTTAAAAATAGATTCAGTATTTTCTTATTTACTAGTTGCAAATTTTGATTATTGCATTAATGGGTGGTAGATTAATTATCCCTACGGTGATTGAGCACACTTTCGATTTTATTAAATATTTACGAGAATAATACATTCGATCTTTTTGTAAATTTTAAATACTTAGTAAATAATGAAATAAAAATATTCAATTTGTCAAGATCCGTGAAGTATCTCTGTAATGAATGTGAGTTGTGTAACCAATTTGAATCCAAATGATTTTGAGTAGCGGTAGTGTTAGACTCTATATTATATACATTTTTAATATCAAGGATATTTTAACTATTGGTAATTTAGTATAGTTTAAACTATTTTTTTCAAACAAGTAATAACTATTATAAGTCAATACTGTAGAACTATTTGTTAATGGATTTGTGGGGTGAGGTATATAAAAAGTATAACTTTAATCAGGATATTTTAAAAATATCTATAGTGAATAAAAAGTAAAATTAGTTTTTTAGAAGCGTTGCAGCAGTCACATTTTTAAAAATAACCACGGATAATTGAATTTTTACCAAATATTTGTATTATTATTTTCTATGCAAGTTATAAAAATATTTTAACTTTTTTTTAAGCTATAAGTATAAGATATTTTTGATTTTTTTTAGTTTTTTTATATTTAATGATTAACTGAGTCAAAATTCTTTTAAAAATTTGATGCAAGATCTTACATAAGTTTTTCTTATATCTGGGCCAAAATATTTAAAATACAGATATAAGATATTATTAAACCATAAACCTATTTATACAATTAAAAGGTTAGTCGGTATTCATATAGATGTACATGGCTTGAATTTCAGGGGCGACTAAAATACTTTTGGGTTCTTTTTTAATATTTTTCCTTGAATTTAATATTAGTTTCTAAAATAAAGTTTATTTTTATTTATGTAACATTTAACTATTACCTATATCACAATAAATGTTTCCTCATAAATTTAATTTATTTTAAAAAACTACTACATATTTTAGAAAAATTATACTTTATTTTAGTAATATTTTAGTTACTTAGTTTTTTATTTTAGTCTTCATGTTCTTGGATTTCAATTTTAGAACAATAAATAAAAAATATCGGAAGAGTGCCTCCTCCCTCTGTGCGCTAGACTTAAGTGGTATTGAATCAAAAATGTATAACAATATTATAATATGGTATAAATATATATTGTTAAAATAAATAAAAACTAATAATATAATAACTGCGATGTTTTGCATTAAATCAACTTATATCATAATTAGTCGACACCTATTATACAGGGAAATGATACTCACTTGTCTATCCTTTTTTTTTTTTATATTGAATTTTCTTAATAACTTTGGAAGCAATGTCCATTAATAGCGTATTTAGGAATATGACATCCCAGATACTTAATGAAGTAGTGCTTTTTCATTAATTCTACATAGACAGAATTATAAGGTGTAAGACGATGTAGTTTTCCATAATACCCGATAGAAATTTATCATATTTTAATGCCCTTAAACGAGACTTATCATGAATTTGTTTACAAAACTTTGTTATTTGGCACTTTGAACCCTTAGTAGTGGATTCTTTTTATAAGACTAGAAATTTTATTTTGGCTGTCAGGGAAATTTCCTCCTAAGATCTCCCTAAATACACTATAATACTATAGGTTGGTATTATATAGAATTAATAATAATAATAATAGATACTAGAATCACAGAAAACAATTTTCATTTGGTTTGAATGTTAAAATTTTAAACTGTGTTGCACCTATAAATCATTTGATTTTAAAAAGTTAATGGTAAAATTTAAAAGGATAATAACAATATTTATATATAAATAAAAGGTAATGTATCATATGTTTTTTTTTATAAAATAAATTTTAAGTTGATTTGTGTTATGGATTTCTATATTTTTTTTTTTTTGCAAATATTTTTAGTAACTGCTCACTTTTTAATCGATTAAATAGAAAATGTGTCGATTAAGTATATTTTATTATAATGTTTAATGCGCATTGGGTTTATTATATTGTATAAAATATTTATATTAGAGATAAGCGGTAGATACCGTTTTAGGTGGTTATCATTCACACTTCAATTTTGTAAAAATTATTTAATTGCCGTGATTAGAATATTATTGAAACATTTTTAAAAATCAATAATACTTTAGTCTATATTAATCGTAATAATTCATATTGTTATTACTATATTTCTAATTACAAATGTCTGATAATAATTAATAATATATTAGTGCAAACACAATCAAAACCATGTTTCAAGTGTTGAAACAAAATTGAATTTAAAAAGGTAAGTAATGATATTTAATTATATATTACATACTATTTTAAATTAAATATTTGAAAATTTGATATCAGTTTTTGTTATTTATTATTTGGACACTCGATAATCTTTAAGAGCTTGGAAATCTACTTGACTTGATATTAGTATAGTATAAATAGTCGGAGATTGGGAACGTTAAGCTCACTGGTTTCTGTTGTAATTGCTGCAACAGGTTCTTTTTCGTTAAGTTTTATCTTATATAATTATTTTCCAGCCAAACTGATAAAATGGCTCGATTAGCAATTTTGTTGTCCGTGGTATTATTTAGCGTATATCAGTCTGAACAAGCATATTTCTTGGAGAAAAATTACATCAATATGATCAATGAAGGAGCCAAAACCTGGAAGGTACCTATATAATAATATGACATATATATTAGTATAACAATATCATATGTGCTTTATTTATAATATATATATGCGGAGAATATGGGTGCAATTTAATTTTAAACTTGTCACATTTTTGCTTATAAATTTTCTTAATATTATACGCAATTTTTTGTGTTTATAATATAAGACCATAAGAGCATCATGTTTACAAAAAAAAAAAAAATAATAAAAGATTTTTACTTTAAAATTATCAATTAACACTCAATACTTCAAAAAATATTTATCATTTATTTAATTATCTGAATTATTTTAATTGATTGAATATTCACAGTACGTCAGTATTACTGGTATATAATAAAGATTATATGGCCCGGGTAAACCAAAGCCATTAATTAAACCCTACGATATGATTTGTATATAATTAGTAATAGCTTGCACAAAATTATTGTAAAACCAAAAAAATTAATAAAATAAAATATTCTAGTTCTAAAGTAATACGTTTTTTTTTTTTTTTGATTAGTTTGATTCGTACTTTTTACACACACACATTTGTAACATTGTAGATTTAAATTGTTAAGTGTAGTAAAAATGATATATCAATATAGACTCAATTGTTGTGCATCGAAAACAACTTAAGCTATTTCAGTTTTTACATTAATTAATGCATTGGCATAGCTTTGACAAATTCTAAGAAAAAGAGACTTATGTAGATTTTGCAATTTATTATTACTGTCTGCTATTGGAGGTGTTGATATTTTTCCATATTTTAATTTTAAAGCAGGTTATACGCATTAATAAATTGCAATATTTCATATTTTTTGCGGTGTAATGATCTAATAAAATGTTTAGAAGGGGATGGAGGGAAACAATGCTAATCAATTCAACTATTTATACTATTTTTATTATAGTATTATATTGAGTATAATTATATAATACTGAACTACTATTAGTGAATTTTTTATACAAAATACTGAGATTTGGTAAAATTTTATGAAATAAATAGAAACAAATATACTATGATCAATGTTAATTGTTGACCTCTACTCGATTTATGTTCATTAGGCTGGTATTAACTTCGATCCGAGCACGTCAAAGGAAGATATCATTAAGCTGTTGGGATCTACAGGGGTAGAATCTGCCAAGAAGGCGAGTATCGATTTATTTAAAACGGACGATGATGCTTACGAAAATATTTGGATCCCGAAGAAATTCGACGCAAGGAAAAAGTGGAGACACTGCCGTACAATTGGAGAAGTTCGCGACCAAGGACACTGTGGTTCTTGTTGGGTTCGTTTATTGGCAGTCTTGTTTACGGATAAAAATCTTAAAATACATTTATTATATCTATGACATTCTATTCGTAGGCTTTCGGAACTAGCTCAGCATTCGCCGATCGTTTGTGCGTGGCCACAGATGGAGATTTCAATGAATTATTGTCCGCCGAAGAGATAACGTTTTGTTGTCACAAGTGTGGTTTTGGATGTAATGGAGGCAACCCGATCAGAGCTTGGGAATATTTCAGTAAACACGGTCTGGTCACGGGAGGAAATTATAGATCTGGAGAGGTATATTATATGTAGCGATCAGTTCGAAGAAATAATAGATATATATTATTTTCTGAAAATTATCTTATTTTTATTTTTAATGATTTATAATAATTTATAATATTTTATCAATCATTTGGTGAAATAGTCCGAGTTGGTTTTGTTGGCCAATGAGGAATAATCAAACCGATATATTATATTCTATGTAACTTAACCCAAAAATGTTGTATTATACTTTTTGATGTTATATTGTATAATAATAAGTGATAATAATATCATTAGTAATATAGTAAGTTATATTAGCACCTTACTATAGAATAGACAACACGTATAGGTCATATATCTGTAAGTTAGCAGGGTACATAAAACAATTGCATAGATTTAGTTAGACATTGCCAAGTAGAGTTGTATAATTTATAGATGCGTGTTGAATATTTAGAGAATTTGAATTATTCTTTACAAAGAACAATAATTTTTTAAGAAATACATTTTAAAATTAATTTAACCATTTAGTGTGCTTATTATTTATAAAAACTTGGAGCTTTAGAAGGATACGTATGTTTTAGAAACTAACTCCAATATTGAAATCTTTTCGTGGTAATAATTTCATTAAACTTCAAAATTTCCGTCCACTATCATGATTCTACAAAATTGTTAAAATTTATGATTATTGATTATTATATTATATAATACGATGTACCTGGCAAAATGACGTAACGCTAAATACTTATAGAAAATGATAAATGCACAGTTTATGATATATTTTGTAGTTATTTTGGTGATTTGAAGCCATTAAAGTAACGAAAACTTATTTTGGACTATACGCCGATTGCTGTATAATCGAATCTTATGTAACACATATATATTCTAGGGATGTGAGCCATACCGAGTTCCACCTTGCCCACGTGACAAAGATGGTAATAATACATGCGCTGGTAAACCAAGGGAAAAAAATCATAGATGCACGAGAATGTGTTACGGAAATCAGGACCTCGATTTTGGCAACGATCACAGATATAGTATGGCTTATTTTTACAAATTTTATAACGTACAGTCAATTATGTGTTTAATTTATTAAATAATGTTCATAGCACGTGACTTTTACTACCTAACTTATAATACCATCCAAAAAGACGTTTTGACTTACGGACCAGTTGAAGCATCGTTTGATGTATACGACGATTTTCCCAGTTACAAGTCAGGTAAACACGAACCAGACATGATAATAACACATTTTATCATGATATTAATAATTTACATTTGGCATTTCATTCAAACATTTTTATAATGTCGTTGTAACCGTACTTTAAATTTTAATTTGACGATGGATTTTAGGTGTTTACGTAAAATCGGAAAATGCAACATACTTGGGAGGACATGCCGTGAAATTAATCGGTTGGGGTGAAGAAAATGGAATCCCGTATTGGTTAATGGTCAACTCGTGGAACCCACAGTGGGGTGATAAAGGTCTTTTCAAAATTCAACGAGGCACAAACGAATGTGGTGTCGATAATTCAGTTACTGGCGGTGTACCAGTGGTTAACTAATTGTAGTACCTAGTTACCAATTAAATTAAGAATAATTCTGTCATACTGTATTTTAATGTTTAATTAAAATTAATTTTATTATTTAAAATTTTGTTTTTATTAATTTTTTAGTAGACATATAATAATATAAAACTTATTAGCGAATATATATCTAATTATTATGTCTAGTCACTATCATTTACCTACTTAATAAGTTTAAAAGAAAAATTACTGCAGAGGAAATTAGAAAATGAATAGGTAATTCAAAATTAAATAATTTTGCTTAAATAGTTAGTTATTTTCTATATGATTTTTTTTCTGTTAAATGAATATTTGAATAATGTCTTCACGTAAATTATTTGAATTCGTTTTTGGGTAGAACATTAAATTAATTAAAATATAGTGGCATTGGTTTCATAATTAAAAATCAATAAATAAAAAAAATAAAAAAGAATGCACAAAATCACAAAATATATCTATAACAATTTATTTATGATAAAATACTCATTAATAAAATATAACAATTGAATACAACGTCCATCAAAAGGTTTATACATTAAAAAAATTGTGTAATATATTTGTTGTATAATGTCAATTTTTTTACATAAGCATTTTAAGTTAAAATATTGGTGGAATTCAATGAAACTATAAACATTATGAACATTTGTAAATTTTTATTTAGTTAAAAACTCATCCAATTTTCAATTTTAATAGTTACTGTTTGAAAGTTTAATGTGAATTTCGTCTTAAGTTCTTTAATTGGAAAAAAAAAATTAGGTGTTCGATTCTTCAATAAAAATATTTTGGTGAAATTGTATAATATTCAAATATAAAATGACGAATTATTCTCAAACGATTTAATTTAATTTTTGTAATTAAAAAAATATTAATCAGTTATTGATATTTTAAAATTTTCACCATTTCGTAAATAATTATTTTCTATTGAATTTCCTAGAATTTTTAGCCTCATTTTAAGCTATTTGTTCTATGAACCTTTTCACACCGCTCTATGGAAACTTGCATTATACACCCTGTGTTGTCTTCACTAGTTTTTGTTTTTTTTTTGTGACTTTTTTTTAGTTTAATTAAATTTACTGTAAAATATAAACTTAAATATAACTTAGTATAAGTCTTCGCTAAGAATCGTTTTTAGTATGCTATGATTTACTATCAAATTTAAATTAAACATATATATTACAGATTATTTTTTGATTTTTTTTTTTTTTGATCTTATAGAGATTAATGTTTTAGCTAGAACATATTAGTAGTCTTAAGAAAACTATCAGTTATATTGACATTATTTTATATATTATGATATTAACAGTATTGAATATTTTGTTAAATGAACCATTTTTTGATATGTAAAAATAATCTTTCTATTTTGGATCACCAAAAACATATCGCCAGTAAAATATCACGTGACCAAAATATCGCCACTGAAATATCGCGAAACCAATACATCGCATAGAATAAATATCGCCAGTATGAGGTACAGCAGTAATTTAATTAGAAATAAATAATATTGATAATTGATTGATATTTTATAATAGTTATAAATAACTTTATATTTCAAAGCATATAATATTGTTATAAAAATATATAGTAGAATTAATAAAAATGATAAAAATATGTATAATGTAATAAAATTGATACAAGTATTAAAAAAAATAAATAATGAAAATGTATATTAATTAATGGAAATATATTTTAAATGAAATACCTTGAAGATGATCTTTAAACTTTCGATTATGATAATCTATTACTACTTTCTTTATTCGTTCAACCCAAGTGACTGTCTTGTTATTTTTAATTGATGTATTTAGATATAACAGACGCGATAATAATTTACGGCGATATTATTTTTTTACGATATATTGGTTTCGTGACGTTTTTGTTGCGATGTTTTACTGGCGATATTTTGTCGGGGTACCCTCTATTTTTGACTAAATTCATATTTACATAATATGTACTCCACAAAAATAAATTATTACAATAAACATATTAAGCATTCGTGTTATATTAGTGTTACCCATCCTTCTCATGAGCATAAACAGTTGCACCGCTTGAAAATTCTACTACTAATCATTATGATTTTTACTATAAAGTATATAGGAATAAATAATATCTAGGTAGTTATTATTATTTTTATTATCGTTTAATGTAAAATTAATATGTAGTAATAATCTTCTCCCAGCTCAAAATCAATTCACAATAATTATTATGTTTAACATTTGCACCAAAGTGTGTAGAATCTACAACAGATTTATTACACATTTTGTGTGCCTAAAATATTTAAATTTTTTTTATACACAGAACTTTTGAAACAATTTAAATAATAGTAAATTTTTACTCTTATTAGAAATATTATACTAATCAGGTTTGTTTTTCTGTACAGTCGATAAATTATTTTATGTATAATAGTATCTTAAATAATATTCCACTTCTAAGGCGGATGCGTCATCGTAAAACAAATAATTATTGTGAAGACTAGTCGAAAAGTATTTTTAAATCTGACATGAATAATGTTTTTTGACCATTATCATGCATTGTAAGTATGAACTAACAAGACATATAATTTACAAAATCCCATTTCATATAACAGCACAAGTATATTGCTATCAATCACTGTTCAAATATTATTTACCAATCATTATTTTATAGAAATGTATGGTGTATTTGTGTAATATGTCAATATAACATTTTTCCACTGTTTGCTTCATATACCTATAAAAGTATTTTACAAGTAGGTACTTTTGCACATTGAAATAAAATTAAAATTTCTCCAAATTTGTTGATTGCACGCATTGGTGTAAAAAAACTCGGTTATATCATCATGAAATTGAATTAAAGGTAGTTACAAAATTAGTTATAGAGTTATAGTAATGAACAAACATAAGGTTTAAAATTTATATAAAAATAATTTCATATCAATGTCTAATTAGACCAAAATTTTGTGGAGTATCTCCGTACCTCTTCCTGACACATAATAAATAATAATAGTAGTTTAATACAACGATTTATGACATAAATAGTATCTAAATAAATAATTAATGTATCTTTATAATGTTATCTATTCAATACCTTTTTTGCTTACAAGTACATAAGTTAAAATAATTTAACACAATAAATAAAAAACCAATAAGTTTATAGTAGATAAGAGCTGATAGCATATGTCAGCGTGTTGTTGAGTAATAAACAAGCAAGTGAGTTAAAAAAATATTCTTATTTGCTTGTGGATATACATTTATCTAAAAAAAAAAATTATAATATTTATAAAGTATATTTATGTATAATGGAAAACTGTTGACCCCTTCATTTAAAAAAATAAAAATAAAATTTTGAAAACGTCCTTAAAGGCTGTTTTACCATGTTTATAATTTAATTTTAAAATTATGATTTACAATCATATAAATCGACCTTCTCAGATGAAAAGTAAAAGTAATTTAAAAGGTAACACGAAGTTGAACGTATAAATATTTTAGATTCTAAGCGGAGAAAGTAAAAATGTATTGATTTTACAACGATACGTGTTTTTTATTGACTTGTAATTATTTATTTATTTTTATGTAATCGCCTTTTGAAGAAAAAAACAATACCAAAAAACAAGAATTTTTATGAAAATCCAGTTTTTCATTAAATCGATTAAAATAATTACAAGTTTGAATTGTACTTCTTAACTGTTTTAAAATATAAAATTGTTGAATGCATTCATAAATATGTATATTCAATATACATAAATAATATTATGATTCAATGTCACACATTTGTACAATTAATTATCGTATATTTTGACGAGAATAAAAATTTTTCATTAATTACCTTTCATGTCATTACCCTTTCATTGACTTTGTGCCTATTGGTTTTTGAGCATATTTCAAAATTCTCTATTCAAAATTTGGAACTCGTTTGTGTAATAATATAATTACTAACGTATGCAAACAATAATTTTCTTATAGTTCAACATTATTTACTCAGCTGTGTATTATCATTCAAAGTTTTAAAAATTATTTTTATGTGCTGGTAGAATTTTGTTTTTTAGAAGATAAAAATAGATATCAACATACACAACTATACATGAGACATAGCCCAAAATATAAGTAGGTATGCATATTCTCAATCTAAAACTTATATTTATCAAATAATTCTATGTCAATTTTGAAAAATATTTTCATAATTCAATTTCAAAGATTTTTTTCGTTTCTTTATGTTGTGAATTGTATTTAGTAAAATGTTGGTACAGTAAATAAAATAATTTTTCTAATTAGGTATAATTTTATTGAACACATGAGGTAAATTCACTGGCATTATTTAATAAATTTGTCAGGCTTCACCTTGCAAGACCAGCTACAATTTTAATAAGTATAATAATATCTAATTACATAAAATCAAAGGCTTTAAACAGATGACTCTTATGCTAATCTACTATTTTCATCAAATTTCATAACATTTTTTTTTTCATTCATTTTTACTTTTCATAAATATTGAATTTATTGAGTTTAAGAAAAACTATCATAGTTTTAAATTTCTTTATTTTTGTCATTGGTTGTTGAAATTAAAATAGTTATTATGAGTGGATATAATTTTTATCTTTATTTTCTATTTGATTAAAATAATCATTAACTTTATTTTAACTCTTTGCCGTTTGCATTTAACAGGGTTAAGAAGGGATAGATTTACAGCATTTAATATATCTCGGGAAACGTTGTGTAAGATCAGCTAGGTATTATTATTAATTTAATTAAATAATAAATGCAATATTTATGGCAAAAACGTACCGACTAGTCCTCCTATAAAGATTATATTCGAGTCGATATGTTAATTAGTAAGTATCTGCGATGCGTATAGTATATTGATCATGAGCTTATGACCTATTTTAATAATACAATATGTATGGTTTTCTATATGATTTTGAACTGTATATTTTATTCATGACGTTATATAATCGTAAGTAATTAATGCAGTAGCTATGCAATATTGTAGAAGCCTACCTAATAAATTAACGATGTAAGTTAAAATCGCGCTGTCAACGGCTACTTCTATACATTATAATTAGAATTGTGATTTTTATACATTAGCATATTTTCTTTGAAGTCCTTATACATATAGTACTAGTTGCCTTAATTAAACCATGGTTGGGCTCATAGTGGATTAAAAAGAAAGATTTTTTTAAATTTATATTTTTGCATACTTTAATCAAAATGCGTTATAAAATTGTATGTTTAAAAGTTTTGAATATAAGACTGCATTTATATTTAATGAAGAAAAATAATTATTGTTTTATATTCTATTCATTACTGATACGGTTGTTTATATCGAGTAAATGATAAAATATTATTTTAATACGTACTATAGAATTGTTAATTAAGTGATTATTTGTTTTAAATAAATAAATTAAAAAAATCATTAGTGTACGCGTGTTTGTCGTGTAGAATGTAGATATAAATGTTCATGTGACATTTATTGTAACATTTAAATAGGTAAACGATTTCGAAAAATGTCTAAAATTCAAAGTGAAGGTACTAAGTTAGTAAAATTTGTTGAAGAATCGATTACCTAGTGAAGTTTACAAATCTACTTTTAAAATACTTTATTGTGTCAATATGTTACAAAGCTATTTAAGGATTGACAAAATTTAACATATATTTTTGAATATTTTTAAAAATTAAATGTATATTTTATCATTTTGTATTGCATATAAATCCTAACCTTAATTATAATATTGTAGTTTAAACGTATTTGCCGAAATTCAAGGAGATTCCGTTGTTCTACTGAATATGTTATGCATTATTCAGATTACGGATCAAGTGCCTACGTTGAATCGCCTCGTATTGCGATTACGACACAATATATCGGTGTCCGTTTGCTATTCTTTATACATAATAAATGTATAACATTATACAATTTTAATAGATTCAAAGCGTATAAAAATAATACATGTTTTATCCACATATATACTCTTTGCACATAGACATATTATTATTTTGCTCCTCTCGGTATCATTGATACGAAACGTATAATCCGATCACTTTGACGCACACGAATAAAAATAAAATACACACAATTTAAAACACAAGTACTTTATTAAACTGTAATGTTCTACATAGCAACTACATAGAACGGTCATCGCTGAATAATCCCTTTTCATCTTCTATTATTTATTACACATACCTATTATCATAGCTTAATTTAGTTTCCTATGTCAAAATACATAATATTGTTATTAACCTATTAATATTTACTGACTAAGACTTATTTAAAATTTGGTTACTTATTTCATAATTATTTCATTAGTTATTTTTTATACGTATCTAATGTATAATACAATATGTCTTACTAGGGCCGGAATTTTAAAGCCCTTAAAATCCTAAAAAGTACTTTAATGCCCTATATAAATGCTGAATAAGCATTAAAATTGTTGTGAGTCTCTCATTCTGTTACTTGAAACCAAAATTAAATTCATCGGTTAGGTTAAAACACGTTAGGTTACAATATAAATAAAAACAATCAGTACAGTTTACTAATTAATAATTAGTAGGTTCCTTTATAATTTTACTGTGACAATAGGATGAATAATGAATATATACCATTATACCACATATAATAATATATAATTTTATACCATAATTATTACGCGAAAAAGTTTGGGTAATGACTTTGGGCTATAGTTCGAGTGGTGTAGCTTCATTTTAACTTTGAGTTTTTTTTTTTTTTTTATTGTTAAGGCTGCATTTTCTTCAACTCCACAATCAATTATTTATTTTTTATTTCAAAATGAAATATAATTTCGAAAACACTCAAATTCACAATACACAGATAGTATTTTTCGTGTTTTAATATTTTATTAACTTTATTGTAAATCACGTATAGCACAGATGATATGTGTGTATATATATATATATATATATATATACATATTTATAAGTATATAGTATATGAGTTAGTATAACTTATGACTTTATGAGTGTTATCATTGATATATACTTAACTATCTAAGACACTTAACATTTGATTATATAATTTATAAAATTATACGTTGACTGCGGTGGGTGATACGAACGATGGTATAAGAATATAATACAATAACGACATTAAGTTAAATAAAATAATACAACAAAATCTTTGCAATTCAAGTTATTTATTTACTATATTATAATTATAATTCGCGATGTGTTGGTAAATAACTAGTATAATATATGTAATAATAAATAAACTAGATTCGTTGAGTAAAATATATGTATAAGTACGATATTCAGTTATAATGGTACCTTTTGTATGTTTTTTTTTTTAAATCAGGGCATTAAGTTCATAAATGAATATGCCATATATATTATATATATTATGCATATTATATCAATACATGTTGCAAGACGTATCGCCATGCCCATTTATTATATAATAATATATATATATATATATATGTGATTATTTACTAAGAATACTCACTCCATTAATTCTATAATAATATGGTTAGGTATTCGAAATGTGATTATTGACATTTTTAAAATGGTGAACTAAAAATTATATTATTTTTGGATATTTTTAATTTTTTCAGATGCTCTCAGTACATATACCTACTGTGACAATATACCAACTACGGTTCGCTGCGATAATATTTTTTTCGAGTGAGCACGATCGTGTGGTTGTAATATTATGATAAATTCACGCCATCGTGAAATATTACTTATGTGTAATAATTTGTAGTATTATTAAATAGACCAAACATGTAATTATTATTATATGGGACACAGTGTAATACTCGATATTCGTTAACCGTTAAACAATATCCAAATTGGTAAACGGTCATTATTTATATAGCCTATTGTTTAAAATACAAACGTGAACATTTTTTACGATCAATTAAAAATGCATATTTTATAATGTTAAAAATGTTTTCTATTTAGTATACAAAGTATATTATAGTTCCTGTAATCTGTATGTGTTAAAAATATCTTGTACCACAAAGTTCAAAGAAAAATGTATATGACTTAAGCAAATCTTGATAAATAATTTCAAACATTTATAATCAATTATATTTTCATAATTTAAAAATGGTATATATATCTACTAAATTTTTTAGAGTTTTAACTAAAATCGTTCCTTATGTTTGGAAGATGAGAGATACTTAAATACCAAATGATGCTTAAATCTAATCAGTCTTGATAATATTTGAATTTTCCACTGCTTCGGCTTTGTTCATGTCATATATTAAATAATATTTAATACATTTCATACTATATGTTTTTTTAAATATATATAAATTATAAAAGTTTCCGCGATTGTCAATCGAAATTTACAACTGTAAAAATTGTCCTTATTTCGCATTTTTAATGTCCGACTTCATAAAGTGACCTAGACCTAGAACCTCGGTCTCACCAAGAAATGTATTAGTATATATTAATCATAACGTGACACAGTGCGTGCATGTACGCCAGTCGTTAGTTTAATATCAGATGCATTGATTAAGTATTATTTGATTGCAATACAATTTTTGAGCCGTACCCACTTCAGATTATCACCAATATTTCATTTTATTCATAACTGTACGTCTGTATACAACCGTTGTTGTTATAATAAATGCAATTGAGTAAACATTATTTAAAAGTTTTAAAAATGTATATTTTATTTTTCACTAAAACTTGAAAATTATTCCAGTATAGAGAGTGAGGTGGTGATACAAAAGAAACTCTCAACTCTTGCGTTTTGATGTCGTTTTCAAAAAAATTATTGCGTAAACGTGCGTCAGACATGAAGTTAAAATAAATACTTATTTGGTCAAATAGATAAATACATTTATGAAAATGAGTTAACGCTAAAATCTGAATTTCAGAAAGATATTTTTACTGTGCGTGTTTTTGAGAATACATTTATACATAACATTATGTACTATTGATAATATTAAAATTTATAGTTTTGTAGAAATCTAAAGATGCTATTGACGTATCGGAACTAAATGTCAAGTTTCAGGGTATTACTCTTTTACAACAAAACATGTAATAAATATATTGAAATCATAAATTTTCGGTTTTCAACCTACAAATAAAATTCTATTCCGTAAATAATGATATGATTTACAAATACGAAGCAGTGCGTTACACTTGATTCTGATGTTGAAGAGTTTTTGCCTTGAAACATTTGTGACAGCAATTTAATAGGTATATTGCATATCTGTATTCGATGTATCCAAATAGCGGGATTAAAATATTATGTAGGTATCTACATTGTACAACTATAATACTAATTCATATTTTACACGATGTAAACCACCATTAATCGTTCAACTTCGATCTATGTGAACAGACGACATTATACGTTGAGCGTTTCACATTATTGTATCAGAATTTAGTTTCGGGAAAAAAATTCAACCAGTTTCTAGAAGATACAATAGGTACGATGGCTAGGGTATTGGCTTTCTTGTCTGTGATTTTGTTCAGCATATATACGACAGAACAAGCGTATTTTCTAGAAGAAGATTTCATCGAAAAGATCAACGAAGAAGCAACGACATGGAAGGTAAGATATTGCGCACACAGTAAATAAACACTTTTTTTAAAATTTATCAACTACTTACATCAGATAAGTGAATAATTTTTATTTGTATCATGATAAATCAGATAAAACTGTGTATTGCTTTTACGCATACATAAAATTATATAACACTTTGTATTGTTATATTATGACAACCGTTAATATTTAATTCCTAATGTAGATAATAAAATTAAAAAAATTAAAACTGCATGATTGAGAAAAACGTACATCAGTAGAAGTTTGTTAATGTTCGTTAGATTTAATTTGATTAAGAACTGACAATAATAAGTGATACGTACACGAGTATACTAAACGTATTGATCAATTCGCAATATGAGATTAAACAGTTAAAACAATTTTTTTTTTTTACCTTTCAAGCTAATTTTTTGATTTTTGTAAAAATAATACGGTTGATACAAATAATATTTATTATTTATTCATAAGTATTATCCATAAACTGTGATTGTTGTTAAAATTAAAAAGTAGAAAATTTAATATGATTTTAAATAAAAATAAATCAAATAATATTTCTTGATTTGAGGTTCTTTACACTAGAACTGCTAAATATGAATTTTAATTTAAAAATTATTCAATATTATGTACTTAATTCTTAAAAATTTTTACAACACAAAAAATAAATTTGTATACAATTAAAAGCATATGGATGAATTATTTTCTCATTTCGAGCTATGGTAATGTGACACATATGGAAAAATTGTTTTCACGTTTTTGTGTGGTTGTACAATTTTTTTTTTTTGTTTGAAAAAAATTTTACAAAATAAAATATATATATAGTACTGAATAATTTTGAAATTTAAATTAATATTTTCAGTACTAGGACAACAAATCTATGTATTTATCTTAACAAATTACATTGTGATAGCATACAAAAATTATACAAGCAAATGATAATAAACTGTTTGTATAATGATTATTTAAAAAAAATTTAAAACTAGAATACACATTCACCTTTTGATCAAGAAGATACCTAATTAAAATGGAATCAAGGAAGTCGTTTTTTTTTTATAGTAAAAGCTTGAATATTAAGTGTACCTTGTTGTTAAGTAGGTATTGGACATAATCAATCTGAATTCAATGATATACTTTTATATTCAAAAACGATTTTAAATGGACTCAGCCACTGTTTCTAGGAATATTTTATAATTGATTTATGTTAATATACTATTAAAAATAGTTAGTGTACTATCTATACTATTAGATTTCAACCATGTTAAAATTAATTTTTATTTTCATGTAGTTTTTCGTTTTATTTAAATTTAAACATACAGAAATAGTTACAATGATTCATTATATTATGATTTTCCACTTCTTAATCCTGGAAATGTTTATGATATAAATACTCTCTCAATAGAATTATGGTGTTATATAATATTAATTTATGTACGATTACCAAATTGTGATTATTTTCAAAGGAAATAAAAATCATAATTTTTTTTTTTTTTTTGATACACGATATTTTTATTACTAAGTAAACAATTAAAATTACATACAGAAATACATCATTAATTTATCATTCAATAATTCTCAGCCACACGTTTAATAAATAAAATAAATTATGAATTATAATTTTTATATTCTCACTGGCTCATATTTCTAAAATATGAAATATTATCTATATTATTATAAGCAATGATAAATATATCAACTGTAAGATAAAACAATTCAATTAGGCCGGTGTTAACTTCGATCCAAAAACATCGATTGAAAAAATCATCAAACTTTTGGGATCGAAAGGAGTTCAAGCCGCACACAAACTTAATCCTAAAATGTACAAATCAAAAGACGAAGCTTATGATAATATATTTGACAGAATTCCAAAAAAATTTGACGCAAGGAAAGAATGGAGACGTTGTATTACGATCGGACAAGTACGTGACCAAGGAAATTGTGGATCGTGCTGGGTACGTTTGAATAATTATAAGTTCAAGTTTAAATTAATAGAATTATATAAATTTATATATATATACGAAATAACTGTACGTACAATTGTATTAGGCCTTAGCCACGAGTTCAGCGTTTGCCGACCGTTTATGTATAGCCACAAATTATGAATCCAACCAACTGTTATCCGCAGAAGAATTAACTTTTTGCTGCCATTTGTGTGGTTTTGGTTGTCACGGAGGTTACCCGATTAAAGCTTGGGAATATTTCAGTAAACACGGTATCGTTACAGGAGGAGATTATAGATCGGGAGAGGTATGATTGGATCGATTGGTAGAAAGTTTTTATATAAAATGTTTAACATAATCAACGAACGTGTACCATTAATGTTATTATTCATGAACTGTTAGGGTTGTATGCCATATCGAGTCGCGCCGTGCATTCGTGACGAGTATGGAAATAGCTCGTGTAGGGGTAAGCCAATGGAAAAAAATCACAGATGCACGAGAATGTGTTATGGAGATCAAGAAATTGACTTTAAAGAAGACCACAAATTCAGTATAAATTATTTTATTAGTTGTGTAACGTTAATACGTTTTAAATTTGATTAAATCATGATTACAGCGAGAGACTATTATTACCTTACATATTCAACTATTCAAAAAGATGTTATGACTTATGGACCAATTGAAGCGTCGTTTGAAGTGTATGACGACTTTATCAGTTACAAGTCAGGTAAAACTATAAAAGTGAATAGATATGGATGACTAATTATTTCGCAAATACTATTAAGTTTCATTTTTTTAGAGAAAATTATATAACGAGTACATTTTTACAAAAACTAAGTCTATATTTAACTATATTTTTGATAAAACCAATAGTGCGATGAGAAGTGTAAAAACTCACTTGAATTCAGTGTGAGTTTACTTATTTAGACTGATCATCCAATTTTATCAAAGTTTTCAAGTTTTTCTAACTCTTCGCTTAAATTTGTTCTTAAAATATAAACAATTAATAACTGTCATACATTGATTAAAAGTACACGGAACTGAAAAAAGTGTGATTGTGTGAGTTTTACAAAGAAATCGAAGATGTTTTTAGATTTTTTTATTGCATTATTTATTATATTTCCTTTATTGATCCACTGGAAAACAAACCAAATTTGTTATTAGAAATATATTATACTCGTCGAACATATCATGGTGTTATTATACACACGCATCGAGCTTTCTACCGCCATATTTGCACTCCAGTGGCACATGCTAATAATCACTAAATATTAAACACATATTATTATACACATCATTCACATGTAATTAAATAATTGCCTATATTGAACTCCTTAAAAATGGACACTAACAAATCTCCTTAGAGTAGAAATTGGAGACACACACGTGAGGAATTATCATTTCTAAGCAATTAAATTTTATGGCTTTCAGGTGTTTATGTGAAATCGGAAAATGCTACGTACTTGGGAGGACACGCTGTGAAGTTGATCGGTTGGGGTGAAGAATTTGGAGTCCCATATTGGTTGATGGTCAACTCGTGGAACGAAGATTGGGGCGACCATGGTTTATTCAAAATCCGACGAGGCACAAATGAATGCGGAATCGATAATTCGACAACTGGCGGTGTACCAGTAATCAATTAATAAATTATGCTATTCATTCGAGAATATTGTCATTTTTTCTTTTATATTTGAATTATTTGTATTTACTCTTTAACGTTTTGTTCTCATTGATTTCTCACTGGACATGATTATATTTTCTATATATTTCAGACCTTTAAATCGTCGTAGTTATATTTAATTAATTACTTATTCTAGTTTTACTTAGAAAATATCAAAAATTATAAACACTTATCTTTTATTGTTTCGAGCAAGAGCATATAGTCATACAAAACCTTCATCATCGAATTTTCGAGAAATGTATTCCCTTGCATTATGGTTGTAACTTTATTGTTTATCTACAAAGTAATACTGTTTAATGATTAAATAATAAATAATATTTATAATCTAAATTATACAAAATTAACGCATTGTAGATACATTCATTAATGTTCCATTTGACTGTTAGAATTCTAAAAGTAGCAGAAGGAAAATATTAATGAATATTAAATTAAAATACTTCTATAAAATATAATGAATAATTCTTAAATTACTCTTTTGAATTTAGTTTTTATGTAAATAATCTAAAATATATGTTGCATCTAAATATAAAATAAAAAATTTATCATTGAATAATTTTATGAATAAACAGTGTACTGTATATACCATGTACCATATAATATGCATTACATATATTATACATAATCATGATAAATCAATTGCTATAATATGAAAAACTAAAATACAATTAATAGTGTCTTATGAGAAACACTTGAATCAAGTATTTAATTTGAGTAACAGTTTTATAGGTTGTTAATATTATAATTTATAGTGTGTTTGAGCATCTCTATAACAGAACAAGCATACTTGATGCGAAAAAATGCTATAACCTAAATCAATAAGCAAGCAACTACATTGAATGCAAGTCGTACATTGTTTATGTTTTCATTGAGAAAAGCCATACTGACTTTATTTATTAAATAAAGAGATTTCAGAACATTATATTTAAATTACTCTCAAGTCTTAATAATCAATTTGTGTAAGTTAACATTTATAAAAATTGTAAATTACAAATAGAACAATGTTTATAATGGTTGTTAATTAATTATCGTATTTATTTAATAATATTAAGATTAAAAAGACCCTTTACATATAGTTGATGAATATCTTCTCTCTTATCTCAAATATTTAGAAATTACTTAACATTTTTTTTTTTTTTATTTAATAAGTAAAAAAGAATTTATTGAATAAAACAAAGTAATAAAGAAAAGAAAAAAGTATACGTACGTCCAATATACATACCTATATTTAATAAAATACTTGAACGATTTTTAGTTGTGAAAATAAAGTATTTATATATTATATTTTTAATAATATTAATTATTATTGAATATTTTGATGATCAAGACTGGGGTGAATTTCGACTCAAATACGCTATACGGGAATATTTCTTAAAACTTTTGGGATCTAAAGGAGTACAAATTCCAAAAAAATTTAATTTTGAAATGTACAAGATCGATGACGGAGCTTACAAAAAATTATCCTGCAGAATTCCAAGGTGCTTTGATGTTAGGAAAAAATTTTAACACAATTGAAAAAGTTCGAGACTAAGGAAATTGTGGATGGTGTTGGGTAAAATATCGATCGACCCGTGTCAAAATTTGAACATAAATTATTTTATTTGGCTTTGGTAATGAGCTCGGCGTTTGCCGGCCGTTTGTGTGTATCTAAAAAAAAGAAATTTTAATGAATTCTTATCAATTTCTTTTGTCATTCATGTGGTAACAGATATTACGATGGTTATTGGATAAGAGCTTGACAATATTTTAAGAAACATGGTCTAGTAACTGGAGAAGATTTAAAATCCGGAAAAGAAAACAATCTTTTCAGAGAATAGTACTAATATTAATATTTATTTTAACTTTTCACCCGTCATTTTTAGGGTTGTAAGTCATGCAAATTGCTTTGTTCTTATGACCAACAAGGAAATCATACATGTTTAGGTCAACCAAGTGAATCAAATCATAAATACGTAGAAAAGTGTTATAAAAATCAGGTCCTCGAATTCGATTAAGATTTATTTTGATATTTTTACATTTTTTAACCTATTTAATCATTGTCCTTGTACGTAACTACTACTACCTAATTTACATAATCATATAAAAGGACGCTGTGACTTATGAAGCAATTGAAGCATCGTTTGATTTTGTAAGACGATTTTCTCTGTTCAAGTCAAATAAACCAGTCAAAATTTGAGTACATTATATGTAGTTTTATTTATTATAATAATATTATTAAAATATCATGTTTTAGGGTGTTAACGTTCTTTGGAGGACATTCCATAAAATTGATAGTACGGGGTGAAAAAAAAAGAATTTCGTATTGGTTGATGGCAAACTTATGGAATGCACTATGAGGTAATACTGGTCTTTTCAAAGTTCAACGAGGCATAAACGAATTTGGTGTTGATAATTTGACATCTGATGGTGTTTCACTAACTAGTTATCATAATAACAGTCATATAATATTTTGTCTTTGTTGATAAAATAAAATAAACTTTATTATTAAATGACGTATTTTTATTGATTTTTCAGTGTGTATGAGATTTTATAATGATTTTTTATTACATATTTGTCTACACATGTAGGTAATTTTTTTTGATCAATGTAATTTTATTTATCTAGTTACTTGTTCGGTTAATATATTCTTAGAAAATAAAAAAAAAATGTTATAAGTATAGGTACCTATATTTTGTAATTTCGAGTAAATATAGATCTATTTATACAACCTTTGATTGATTGAATTAATTTTTGCCAAAATATATATTTACTGAATTTATATATTGTAACTTGCAAGTTACAGTTATGTATATTTACAAAATATTTCTTTAATGCTAACAAAATAAGTATTATTTTAATTTAAAACATAAAGACTTATTGCATTTTATTATTAATACCTATGATAAATGAAAATTGAGCTAATTAAATTGCATTCTATAATATTATAACAGCTTTTATAATATTGCGTTTATTTTTTATTGGCATGTATTTACAAATCTAGTGATTGCTCCTAGTAGATATTTTCAGCCCGCTCTCTTGGGTTATAGATTTTAACTTAGTCATAATGAAAAAAAATATTTGTTATATTTTTATATATGTGTAATAAATAATAATCGTATAAATTATACACTGAGTTTATTAAATGGTTAGTCAGTAACTAACTTCAAGTCAAAATAAATTTAAAATGTTTATTGTTTTTATAATTTATAATAAAACTGAGTCATAACATAATATTTCATAAAATAAAATGCATTAAAATATTCATTGATTATTATAAACTAGAGTTACTGACTTTCTAATTAATTAATGTACACTGTACAGTAAGCAATATACATATTATCATGATACGTATAGGTTTGTTATACTTTGATGTTAATGGTTATTACTGTGACCGAATTATTTTAAAAATAGAAAGAAAATATGTTATAATAAATATAAATAAATATAAATATTATAATAATGGTAATTTAAAAGTTATTTGCTTCTAATTATATTATGTTCTATATGTTATAAGTTTATATTTGAATTTTTTTCATATCAAATAGGAAAATTTAAAATACAAAGTTGAAATTAAAGAGTTAAATGGTCTAAGTAAAGAATTTAATTACATTATATTAATAACTAGTTATATTTAGCTTTCCATTAATATTTAACAACTAATTTAACTGAATTGATTTTAAACAAATATGAAAGTAAAGATTTCAATTTTTATTTTAAAAAGTTAATTTAATTTATTTTATTTTCAATTGTGTTTTATATTATTAAGTTTCAATCGTTTTCGCTTTTATAACAAAAATGTTTCAGGTGACGTTTTGTGTGAATTGTAAATTTTAATTACGAAAAATTTCAATGAAGTACTAAAATAATTTATTTTACTACATATTATAGTAATACAATAGGTTGAATTATTTTTTGCTGAAACGTTTGAATTTATATAAATTTATGTATAAAATACGTAAAAATATTATGTATCTATGAATCATATTTTTAAACTTTTTTTATTTATAAAATAATGAATATCGTTATTCACAATTAAAATATATTATTTCGTCCAAATTATAACTCAAGATGTATAGGTATAAATGTATAATAAACAAATAAGCCATAGGATAGAAATATTTTTGGCTACTAAAATTATGTTTACACTGGTTGCCAATGGATGGCGTTGTATCAATGAATAAATAATTTTTCATAAAATTACATTTTATTAATTTAGTTATTAATATCAAGGTTTGGTCGCAAGTTCGTGACGTCAGAGATTGATAATTTTAATTGTACATTAAAATAATATTATTTTTATTCTCAACGACGAATATAATAAAAACAAATAACCAATTAATTCAGAATAGATTAAACGACTATAAAAATTAAAATAAACCTATATTATAATAATTAATTACGTAATAGTTATAATAAGTATGTATTTGAAATATAACTTGTATTTATTGATCTAGTTTTAATATTTATTAAAACTATAAAATAATACATAATAATAATAAATATATAACTATAAATTTTATTTTTACTGTACACATTTATAGTAAGTAGGTACCACTATTTAAGCATAACTAAAAAAAAAAAAAAAATTAATAAATAACAAAAAATAAACAATTAATAAATTATATTATGTTTTTAATTATAATTTATAATATTCTGTTATTTTAAAATGTTAGTTTAAATTTTCATTTTAAACTGATAATAGCTAGGTACAAGTTCAGTCTGCTAAAATATTGTGGCGATACGAGATTATCACCACCATGATTTTTCTTTGTATTTATTGTAAATTTTACCATTTTTGTTGTAATTAATTATTGTACCGCAAGTCTTACCAACGCGCACGAGATCCCAATCTTCTATTTAATCGGGCGGAATCTGCGACCTCACGAAATCTCATCTACTGCGCGACATTCGAGGCGTCCATCCCGACAACATGGGAGACGCATCGCGCGAGCAGTTCCGGCTATTTATAAGACTTCCGCCAACAACGCCAAACGTCATCGCGGGTTTCCTTGACTCACTCGATTCGGTAGCCAAGCGCCCCGCCCAAACTTCGTTTCGCCGCGATCTTCTTGTCATCGACCTAGACGGAGCTTTACGAATTCTACGAAGTCGCCATCGTCATATCGCATAACAACTCCGACGCACGTCTCAATGCGCTCAAAAACGTCATTTGACTTTGCCCGCACAGCTCGCAGCAATTTGCCCGTCACGCGACGCTCACGACCGATCAAGGCTTGCAGTACAAACCCGAGCTTTTCCAGTCACACTTGATTACATTCGAAGTTCAACACACGAAAACATCACCTACCACTCGCAATCTAACTTTATGGTTGAACGTTTTCACTGAATGCTCAAATCCGCGCATAAATCGACGAGCTGGTCCACGAAGCTATCCATCGTGCTTCTCACGCTCCGTCCCACGATCCAAGCCGGCCCCGAACACATACTCGCCGAGCTGGTGTACAGCGCGACGCTCCGACTCCCAGGCGAGTTTTTCCACCAGACACCGCCCGAACCGCATTCGCCCGAGCCAGGGTCTTTCTGCGTCAAATGAGGAGCCAGCTGCGCTATACGTCCGGGACAGACCACGACACTCGACGCACCACGTTCATGCCCACCGATCTCGACCGGACCAGTCACCTCGTCTTCACTAAGATCGACGTAGTCAAGCCGCCACTTCAACCGCATCACGAGGGACCTTACGCAGTGCTGGGACACCGTGAAAAAACTTCCAAGGTACAACGCGATCATTCGACGACCTGGATTCCCATCAACCGACTCAAGCCAGCATTCCTACACGCGTAATTACGATTGAAAACAACGCGCGGTTGTTTTTCTTTTCACTGAGTGGGAGTAATGTGGCGATACGGGATTATCACCATCATATTTTTTCATTATATTTATTGTAAATTTTTTCATTTTTGTTGTTATGAATTATTGTACCGCGTCATGTTTCCGATCGGGAATCAATTTACATATACTGCACCCCCTCCTCTCACGCTCGACTCGTCGCGGCATCAACGACGCCTAGTGCGACGTCTTTATCTGTCACTCGAGTTTTATACGTCCGCTTCGCAACATCGACCTCTGTAACACGCAAACGTTCGTGTACTGTTTCGACTCGACTCTCAAACCGACCTCCATGCACACGTTTGCGCCGCACATTGTTACGCGCCCGACCACGCGCGTTTCTTGATCTCACGACGCTTTTAATATATTTTTATACTTTTTCTATGTACGAATAATTTTTATTTTTTGCAATTATTACACTATATTACCAGGGGCGGACTGGGCCGACGGGCGGGTGGGCGATCGCCCCTTGGGCTGTTAGAATTTTTGGCTTTACGATAATAGATTACAATAATAATTGTATATTTTAGTTGATAATAGAGAATAAGAAATTTTTTTTAAAATTGTATATTGCAAATAGGCCGAATGACGATGATTGAATAATTGGGAGTGAGGAAAAGTCACTTATTCTATTTGTCTAGGCTATTAATATTAAGAAATGTATGCTGGGATAATGCTATTTGTATTATACTATAACACCTGAGCGGCTGGGCCTTAATCTGTGATCGCCCGGGCCAGTTTACTCCTGGATATTATGTATAATTATGAAACGCTGACTTGTTTTTTTTTATCCCAACATTTCGACCTCAAACTCGTTCACAACTCGACGAGTCAAATTGTTATGTAGGGCAGATAGTCTACACCAACATCTGTTATCCCCACAATACTTTAAAAATAACCGAGAGTTATTAAAAAAGTATTATTAAGTATCTATTGTAATATTTATATTAAACGTTGTTTATATCATTTAAATATTTTTATTGTAATAGTGCATTAATTGTAAACTATATAGTAATATAATAAAAGAAATAAAAATAAACGACAATATTTTTATTATTTAATATAAAATTAATTTTAAATATATGATTAATAATTTTCAACTTTGCTATTTTTGTTTGATATGATATTGTTGTAAAATGTTTTGCCTTTTTGAATATTTTACATACGATGAGTTTTTCGAGAATAAATGTATAATATTTAAAGCAAGTGTTATCATTTTCATCAATCCATGTTGATATTAATTGATCATCTCTAAAATAATTAACTAATTTAATTTTAATATTTTTCTAAAACTGAATTTTTAAAAAAAAACTTTCGAAAGAAAATATATAAATACGATTATTAATGTTGACTGTTGTAAAAATATTCAGTTAATGTTTTGAGACCCGTATTTTCATTGATATCTAGATAATTTTTATAAACAATTGATTTTGATTATTTATATTTTACTACCTAATTAATAGTTTAAGTATCAATTACATAACTTTGTATTCAATTTTCAAGTTTCGGCTATAAATATTATACATTTGATTTTCACTAGGTATTTTAATTAGGTATATAATTATTTTGCATTGTAAATATTTCTAGACATCAATAAAAACAATTTATGTGGGATTTTATACACGATTTTCAAGAATTTTCATCGATTAAATCAATTTTTATTAACATTTATAAAAATAAAACTAAATTAAATTAAAAGTTTCAAATCTGTATGAATAACTTGAAGAGATAAAAAATATCTTGAAAATATTGTCGTGTATAAAAAAATATCATATGAATATTCAGTAAGAATTTCAAGTATCTACGGTTATCCATTTTTTTTTTTTTTGTCACAACAAAATATTAAAAATCGTTTGAGGATAAATAGTTATGTATTATTTGATATCGATAGGTATTTATTGCAAGTCGTTTTGTTTATTATATGACTACTTCAAAATTTTCATGATAGCTCATTAATAAAATATTTGTTAAAATATTTTATTTATTTAATTTTAAAATTGCTAAAATTAGCTAGAAAAAGCATTTTAATTATAATTATGAAACATTGTTTTTATAATGTACTAAATACGCATAAATGTTACTATAAATATAGCACTCTGTTGACATAGAAAAACGTATTTAATTTTTTTTTTTTTGTAAAATATTATTATTATCAGTAGATACTTAATAGTCCTTCAATGTAAAGAGGTTAACTTGTGATTTTGATATAACTTTTCAATTGACAATAATATTGAAACAAGTAATCAAAACGATATCAAAACTTTATACAAACTTGATAAAAAAATAGTTGTACTTATACGTACATTTTCAAGTGGAATTTACTCATGGGAATTTTATATTTTTAATATTTTTTGTGTATTATAAAATGACTATGGAATTTTCAATTGAATAGATTATTTTTATTATTTAGTATACAAACACTTGACAATTTTATAAAAAAAATTTCTTAGAAATACTTAATAACATAATGTCAAGGGAATGGGATGTATATAAATGTAGTACAATATTTAAATAACGAAACTTGTTATACTATTGTTGTATTCACTGGCTGCAATGCAGTAGATACTTTATTTTATTTTTGTTATACATTAAGAAACAACATATTAATAATGATTAGAATAATTCCTTTTGTGTCTATTATTTTAATCAATGGCTATGTGACGGAACAAGCATATTTCTTGGAAAAAGATTTCATTAACAAAATCAATGAAAAGGCAACAACATGGAAGGTAAAACATGTTTATTTTTATAGAAATATATCATACTACTCATACTTAGTTATTGTAGTCTGTAAGTAATGGTATAGCAATAATAATAATATAACATAAATGTCATAAATTGTATTTTTTGATATACATTTTATAAATTTATATTTTAAAACTTCTAAAAAGTGTATATAAAATTAGGGTAACAAATAATTCAATTACATTTTTAAATGTTCTATTTGAAACCCATAAATTGTTTGCGCACAAAATATTATACTACAGAATTAACTCCATGCTCATGTGTATAATAATACACTTTACTTATTTACTATGCGTTCATAGGCAAGTTTAAAATATATAGAATATTAATTTTATATTGCTCAAAATTATTTACTCAAATGTATACAATTTAAATTTATAACTATTATTTTTATGAGTCAGTATATAGTATTATATTTTTTGAAGATAAACTTATTTTTACACAGCACATAAATACCTAAGTGAGAAACACATGTCACATGCTTTGATATCCTATAACACGATATTATCATAATGCAGGCAAAAAAATTTAAAATATAACGAGGGAAAATAAAATATAATTACTGTTTTATTATATATAAATATTTTTCTTAAGAAAACATTAGGAAAACATATTTTTCAAATTTAATAGCTTTGTTCTACTTGATAGATTACACTTCCTTTATTATGTTTTTGCGTCATATATTTTACTTATTCATACTTCAACCCATCCATCCAAGTAAAACGAATAGAGCTGAAGATTTTTATAAGCATTTTAAAATTGAAAAAATGTGTAGTGTGTCTAATCTCTGCACAAACTAATTGTTGTTTGAGAAATAATGTATACAAAAAAGTTGTAAATTTAGTAAATGCGCGAAAAATTAAATCATACTATTTTTTTAATGAAATGTGTATGTTTGTAATATAAGATTAATATCATTAAATTTTCCACACTATTCTACGGTAATTCTGTATTAACTCTAAAGTTAATAAAAAAAAATGAATGATAAAAATATACACTATTTCAATAATTTATTAAATATTAATATTATCAATAATATAATAAATGCAATGATTTTGGCAAAAATGTACCCTAGTTAAAAATTATATCTCTTAGATAATTCAAACTTTGTTCAATTTTTTATTTAATACTCTTGCCACAACGTTTACTTCAAACGTAGATGTAAGCAAAATATTGAAAATGTGATACATACAGAGAAAGTATAAATAAGTACTTTCAAATATAGTTTTTCAAGTATTATACATGCTTCTTTTAGACAATCTGTGTTCGAAAAGGTTGTATCGCAACACAGAGTTTATTCATAACCAATAAAGCTCCATTCTTCAAGTGCTTGATATCTGCTTAATTTTGACCAGTTCTAGATATAACTACAGGAATATTAAAAAGTTTTTCAGAACTTTAAAAAGAAACAAATACTGGTAAGCGGTCAACAAGCTCTTTTCCTGTTAAGCAGCTTACCATACCAATGAACAATACAGAACCTACTTCAAAAGTATCGAATTAATTTTGAAGTTTATCTGCTCTATTAATATGTAAGTTTTAAGTGTTAGCATATTCGATAAATAAATAAATATGCGGTTTATAATACAATTATTTACATTCATAACATATCTATAGTACCTATAATATTATAATATATGAAATATATTGCGATCATATTTTTTACATCTGTCAAATATGATAGTAAATTTTGTTGTTATATAATTTTTCTTATCTTTGTTTTTAAATGTACAAAGGTTTAGGAATTCGAATTTTTTTCTTCAAAATCTAATAGTATGTTAGAAATTAATTAAATCAGTAAAATAATTTAATATGGCTCAATGGAGAAGTGCAAACCTTACTTTCTAATTAAATTTTTTCATACACTCTTTTTTTTTTCATTTTGTTACTGCTTCTGACCGACCACAATTTACATAAACATTGTTTATATCATATACTTATAAATTATTATTATTAACTTTTGAGTTAATACTGACTTACCGTGACATAGTTTAAATAGATTTGTAAAGCTATTTTACTCCCGAGTATTCTATTTTTAATATTTTGTCAACATTTTAACATCAATACTCGTAAAAATGTATTGTGAATTTACGTTAATTTTTTCTTTTCAGTTACTTTACTTTATTTTATTTTTTTGTATGATAAAAAAATGTATTAAGTATTTTATATTAAATTTTTGAGTTTGTTAACTTAACTGACATTCACAGAAAAAGAATCAAAAATCACAAATTTATTTAAATTACTCAAAAATTAGAAAAATATTTTGAAAATTTTATTAAGTATAGATACTATTTATAATATGAGAACTACATAACGTATAGTTTTTTTTGTTTTTGAATTACAACAATTAATCTTGCCAAATATTGATTTGCGTGAATCTTGACGTTTTTCTCTAATTTTTATTTTTCCGATTATTTTGAAAAGAGCTGGGAATTTTTAATTTAATTTTAACTTAGTACCAACTAGATTCATTTTATTACCAAAAAAGATGTATTGAAGTTGAAAATCAACTCAATTTTTCTAATATAAATTGTGTATACACACCAAAGAATAAATTGATACATTTATACATCATTCTACTAAAAACAATAAAGTATTCCTAAAATCAATATTTATTTATTCACATTTAATTACCATAACGCATAAATTAATAAATTAGGCCGGTGTTAATTTCAACCCAAGTACACCAAAAGAACATATTTTAAGACTTTTGGGATCTAAAGGAGTACAAATTCCTAACAAAGTTAATTATAAAATATACAAATCTGAGGATGACGCTTACAAATCGTATGTGGAAATTCCCATAAAATTTGACGCGAGGAAACAATGGATACGTTGCAAAACAATCGGAAAAATCAGAGACCAAGGAAATTGTGGATCATCTTGGGTAAGTAAAATTAAAATATTGTCGAGCTTATGTTAAAGTTGTACGTTTATTTTAAATATGTTATTTCATTAGGCGTTGGCGACGAGCTCAGCATTCGCTGACCGTTTGTGTATAGCTACAAATGGAGATTTTAATCAATCGCTATCCGCCGAAGAAATAACTTTCTGCTGTCATTTATGCGGTAACGGATGTTACGGTGGTTATCCGATAAGAGCTTGGAAACGTTTTAAGAAACACGGTCTAGTAACTGGAGGAGATTATAAATCAGAAGAGGTGTGTGTGATTAACTAATTAACACACACACACACACACACACACACACACATATATATATATATTTAGATTAACCGTTCGTCCGTCGTTTTTAGGGATGTGAACCATACAGAGTGCCGCCTTGTCCCTATGATGAACGAGGAAATAATACATGTGCAGGTCAACCAATGGAATTGAATCACAGATGCAAGAGAAAATGTTATGGAGATCAAGATCTCAATTTCAATGAAGATCACAGATACAGTATAATTTATTTTTATAGTTTATCAAAGGCGGGAAAGGTAATGAGAATAATCTTCTCGAGTTATGTTAAGTGAACATAAGTTCGTTGAATTAGAAGTTAATAGTTAACAAATAATAAATTTATATATTTAATATATTAAATTTATTCAGTTAAAAAAAAAATTATCTACTTTTTTAATAAACCAGTAAGTTAAGTTGTTCACATAAATAAAGATTATGTTTTTTATAATTTCTTAAATTATATTTAAGCATAAATTGTAGTATTTTGACTACTATTGTTGCATTGAATTATTTTTATTTGAAACGTTGTATTCCGTGTATATAAAACTATAAAAATATGAAAACTAAAAATGTCTAAAAAAAAATTAAGTTCAACTTGTTATGGATTACTTTTTAATTAACCAATAAAAGCTAAGTTATTTCCATAATAAATTAAACTAGTTAAATTATTGAGTAAATTAAAAATCAACTAATTATTCAAATAAACGAGTTTAAAAAACAAAATTAAATTTACTATTAACTTTACTTTAACTTTTAAACTAGTTAATGCCCGCCTTTGAAATTTATGACATAAAGTCAAATACACGCGTAATGTTGAAATTATGATTGTAGCTAGAGACTACTATTACCTAACTTATAGAAGCATTCAAAAGGACGTCATAAATTACGGGCCAATCGAAGCATCGTTTGATGTGTATGATGATTTTCCTAGCTACAAGTCAGGTAAAATATGAAGAACATGGTATATAGTTTATGGTATTCACCATCATCCACTATATTTTGCGAGTACATTTTCTTTCATACATTTAATGGTTTTTAGGCATTTACGTGAGATCGGAAAATGCCTCATATTTAGGAGGACATGCTGTGAAGTTGATTGGTTGGGGTGAAGAACACGGAGTACCATATTGGCTAATGGTCAACTCGTGGAACGTAACTTGGGGCGACCAAGGCTTATTCAAAATTCGACGAGGCACAAACGAATGCGGAGTCGATAACTCGACAACTGCTGGTGTACCGGTTACTACTAAAATATAATAACTAATTAATTGTGCTAGTCATAAGAGAACACTATAATTTTTTCGATTATGTATAAATAAATAATCTATTCCTTATTTTTATTTTCAACGGTTACCTACTAATTTGACATCACGTCGATTTTCATGTTATCTATACAGATAAGTGAATAATTGACGTCTTTTTATACTCTGATATGTATTATGGTAAAGATGTTGTTAAATTATTATTTTATTTTAAATAAAATTATGTACCTAATGGATAATATTTTGATTTATCCTCTATATTTTTAAATAATAAATGCACTAATAATATTTGTTTGTATAATAAATACGTAGATGTATATTTATAATATAAATATAAGTAGGTACAATATTAATGCGAACACTGATTTTATAGTTTTTATACATTTATTGTTAATTGTACCTATTCATTTTCAATGTTATAATATCACTTAAATTTGCTTACTAATTTGTTCTCATAATTGTTTCATTATTTTATTAGATTCTTAACTGAATTAAATTAAATTAAAATATACATTTAAAATAATTAAATTGATTTAACAATGATACTTAATAAATATTTTAATTTTTTTTTGTCGTCAACATTTTTTGATTGTAATTCTAAAATAATATTTGTGGGGACTCAAAACTCTGATGTATATTATCATGTTATGTACACACAGTGACATTTTGAAATACAATGTTTTCAAAAAAAGTTATTATTGTTAAGTTTTTATACAGTAACCTTAATTTAACATAACATATTGTACGAAAATATTGTAACTCTGATGATTTTGTGAAAATCCGTCACGATCTTGATAATGCACTAACAGTAAAATTGACGAATCTACAGACATTCCAAGTTAAATAATCTAGAACCGTTGACCATGAAAAATAACACAAAACCAGATTATTCAAAATTATCGAAATTAACTTTGATACCTAATAAAAACAAATAAAATACCACAGATTCGTCAAACAATTATTTAAAATCAACTATAGGCCAATAGAAACTTTCAAATTTTGTCATTTTATCTATAGAAAATAAATTTGCATAAGAAATTGATTTAAGGAAATAAAATCGAGAAAATTCTAATTATGAAACTAAAAATTTTTGCTTGTTGTTGCGCATAATGTTCTTTCATTTAATACTATTTCATTTTTTGTTTTTTTATGTCAATAAAATGAATTTTAAAACAAATTTTTATCAATACGTGTTTTTTTAAATTTTTGATAGGAAGGGGGGGCACTCAAACTTGCATCTAGCGCCAGAAAATCTTACGGCTTGATGTACACAGAGTAATAACCTACTTTTTAATTATTAATGTAATTTTTTGATATTTAAATTGTATTCTAATATTTAAAAGTTTAGCCTATGTACATTTTAAACAAATAAATTAGTGTACCTATTGTGGGATTTACCTGATCAGTGGTCACTGATCATGGATAGATAATTACGTTTTATTTATTGAAATTTATTTTTCTTTTATCTGCACTACTGGAAACTTTTTGATTCATATTTATATAATATAGATTGTATTAAATAACCCAAAAATAACCTATATGTGCAGATAATAATAATATTAAATAGATAGATATGAAGGTATGTTACTACTTACTCAATATATAAACACAATAACATACATTTTTACAGTAAATATAGGAAATAATAGTTAAATATTAGCTAAAATCATTAATATATATTGTCTATTGTCGTCTGATATTTAGTAAATTGTAGTAATTGTAAATCATCAGCACGAGTGTACGATGTATAGATGTATAGCGGTCAGTTCACGCAGAGTACACTGTGTAGTATGTGTGCGTATACCGTTTGCGTGTAATAAATAATAATCAACAAATCTATTTAGGCCACTCTGGGTTTAATAATTTCCTCAATAATTGAATAAACTGTTCAAACAGATCACGCTTTTAGATGTTCGTTATATATATATAAAACTAGCTGACCCCGTGACCCGTTAAAAGTGCCAACTCTATTAGGTATATTAATAAGTAGATATTTTGATATAGTTTACTAAGGTCATAGAATATGGCCGTATTTTTATTTATTATATTAATAATAAATACTATACGTCACGTCGTTATAATTTAGATTATAATTACAATTTATTATTTAGACGTTAAACAAAGTTATTCTATAGATACACGATGCAAATTACTCGAAAGTTATAACACTTATAACTATAATGCAAGGGAATACATTTCTCGAAAATTCGTTGATGAAGATTTTGTATGACTACATACTCTTGCTCGGAATAATAAAAGATATGTGTATATTATAATTTTTGATATTTTCTAAGTAGAACTAGAATAAGTAACTAATTAAATATAACTACGACGATTTAAAGGTCTGAGATATATAAGATAATATAATCGTGTCCAGTAAGAATTCAATGAGAACGAAACGTTAAAGAGTAAACACAATTTAATTCAAATATAAAAGAAAAAATTTTCGTATGAATAGTACAATTTATTAATTGGTAACTGGTACACCACCAGTTGTCGAATTATTGATTTCGTATTCGTTTGTGTCTCGTCGGATTTTGAATAAATCTTGGTCGTCCCAATCTTCGTTCCACGAGTTGACCATCAACCAATATGAGACACCAAATTCTTTACCCCTACCGATCAATTTCGAGGTGTGCCCTCCTAAATATGTTGCATTTTCGGATATCTCGTAAAGCTTAAAAACCGTCAAATGCGTATAAAAGAAAATGTACACGTAAAATGTAGTAAATAATGACGATTAGTGATTCTTTATAATTTACCTGACTGGTAACTAGGAAAATCGTTGTATACATCAAAAGATGCTTCAATCGGTCCGTGAATCGCATAATGTCCTTTTGAATGCTGCTATAAATTAGGTCTAGTAATGTAGTAATAGTTATGTGCTATAAGCGATATTTAATAAATCTAACATAGTTTACCGCATGTAAAATTAATTGTAAAAATAAATTATATTGTATCTGTGATCTTGATCGAAATTAATTTCCTGATCTCTGTAATACATTCTCCTGCATCTGTGATTTGATCCCATTGGTTAACCTGCGCATGTATTATTCCCTTGTTTGTCATAATAGGATAAGGCGGCACTCTGTATGGTTTACGACTCTAAAAGACGACGTGCGAACAGTTAAACATATTAATAATGCAGTTAATTAATAATACTCTTCTCTGAACAAGTCGCTTACCTTTGCAACTGATTTGTAATCTCCTCCAACTACTATGTATACCGTGTTTTTTAAATATTTCTAAGCTTTTATTGGACGGCCACCTTGACATCCGTTACCACATGAATGATAGTAAAAAGTAATTTCTTCCGTGGATTACAATTCATTGAAATCTCCGTTTGTAACTACGCACAATAACGGTCGCCGAACGCTGAGCTCGTTTGGAATTTGTACTTCTTTAGATCACAAATATTTTAGGAAATTTTCCTTTGGCATACTTGGGTCGAAGTTCACGCTCGTCTATTTTGGTAATTTTTTTTATGAATATGAATGGTTATTAATAAGTTGAAAAGTAGATACTGCAAAATTTAAAATCAAATTATTTTATCGACTACTTATTGTGTACACAGACAACAAGTCCAATAATTCTAATTTACATTTTAAATAGAATTATTATATTTTTATAATTTTTTCCACGCACTAACGTATTTGATAATAAACTAAGACTATTATGAAGTATTTTATTTCATATAAAAAAATAAATATATTTTAACTCATTATTTATTGAAAAAAAAACATAAATAATTTACGACTTACCTTCCATGTAGTTGCTTGTTCATTGATTTTGGCAACAAAATCTTGTTACAAAAAGTATGCTTGTTCCGTCACATAAACACTAATCATTGATCAATATTACAGAACACAGACAATAACATCAATACTCAAGCCATTGTAGAAATTATATTGCTGTTTAATTTATTATTGAATTAAGTTGAATACACTGTTTATTTTAATTGTTTTACTGGTATGTACAACACTAGTAGAATAAGTTTTGATTTTTATCTTTTAACGTTTATATACACATCTTAAAATATTCTCATAAAATATTTGTTTTAAGTACTTCCCAGTAGTTCTCGTAACGTAAATAGTACTGACTACTGAGTATTAGTGATTTTGTATTTAAGCTGAATATTTCTAATAATTATAGTATCGGAATTAAATAAATCATTCTTAGTACAAAATTCACTAACAAGTTTATTCATCCTTATTTAATATAGTGATTAAGATTAAAAATAAATTTACTAATGTTTTAGAATAAATAATTATTTGATTTTCAACTAATATGATATTAAACTATTGAATTATATATTATCATTCATATTTTAAATAAACCTCAAATAAAACTTAATGACTTCGACTTTATAAATTCTATATATATTATTATAATAATTTTATTAATCATTGTTTGTTGACTTAGAGTTTAGATCCTTGGAATTTTCTCGAAATTTTTACATATAATTTAACTTATTATTTATTAAGTATTCTGATCCTTTTTGATTTATTTATTTTTAGATATTTATAATATACGATTTTTTTTTTTTTTTGTAAATGTAATACAATATTTTTCTTTTGTGATAAGCTAGAAAATTTAATAAAAATATTTTCATTATTTAAATATTTTACTGTTTAAAAAATATTGCAATATATTATGGCACGATATATTTTATAAGCTTTAAAAGATATAATTTTGATGAATTTTATCAAAATCGCAAAATCTTAAAAATTAATTTGTAATAAAAAATGTATAAAATTAATTATATGCATTGATACCTAAGGTTTGGATATTGAATGCTAGAATTTTTAAAAGTTATACTCATAAGAATTATAACATAAAGTTCATTTTAATTTCTCATGTATTTTTATAATCATCTAAATTTTAAATTTTAGCAAAGTTTGATATGCACTCATAAAATAATGGATATAATGTACATATAATAATATATATATGTTTTATTATAAATCTTATAATTATGTATTATTTTAAAAAGTATTAAACATAGAAATTTGAAACTTTCAATTAATTCTTAAATTATTATTTTCTATCCATATTTAATTAGCTTGATATATCACACACTATGGCAATTTAAATTCATTAAAAATATAAAGGCAGTTGACACTATTGTTTTTTATATAGGCCTTGTTTTAAATGTCTACAAAATTCTTCAAAATAATTAATATTTTCGAATAATTTTATAGAAAAAATGATTTGACAATAATTTGTGCAGGCACCTTCTAGGACCTAGATAATAACCTACGCCTGCAACAAGTCTATACAACTATATGTTCATATACACACTTATCGGTTTATATGTGTGCTTTGTTTGGCATTGTTCTTGAAACCCGTGATGCCACTTATACTGGCCATGACAATATACCAATTTATCATAATAATGTGCAATGCTACTAATTACTTAGCTTATAAATGATTCATTTTGTCGCAACGGTGTTTGATTTAACATACCGTCGACCATATTTTAACTATACTCGTAGATGTTTCAGTTAATATACCTTCCCGTATACCTAGTGGCTAGCACTACACGTGAAAAAAGAATATTTGTTAAAATAAAAAAAAAACTTATGTAATTTTCAAAAAAAAAAATGTCTTCTTTATTGATTATCAGAACGTTCAGTGTGTAGAGCAATATGTTTTTAATGAAAAAGGGGATAGAAATTTTATTCGAATTACCTTCTATTTCTATACAGGTAAATCTATATCATATAATGTTTAATCATTTTACAATTCTAGATGCAAAGTTAATAAAACTGTTTAATTTAGTTACCTAATTTAACTGTTTTTTTTTTTTTTTAATTAAGAGAAAAATTAAATTAATACATATTTTTAATACATTAATTAATTAATTTAATAAATATAACTATAAATAATTTATAGTTATATTAATACTTATATCTTATATCGTCAACATAACTTAACTTTAAATTAATAAGTAAAGATAATAAAAAAATCATATTAAGAAATAAAATAACTAATAATCATTTAGATAAAAATTTAATGTACCAACCTAATGAACGTGGACGGATATTATAAATCATATATGTACTTTAAAATATTATGAAGCATATTTTATAGAACTCTATTATTTACATTTAAAACTTTTAAATCATTTGAATTTAAATTTGAGAGTAAATAATATGTGCTAAATGTATTGTTGAAATTTTATAATCTACTAAATACCTAATTAATTCAAACATTAATAAAAACTACGAAAAACTATATTTATTGTATATTTTTACTACTTATAAATATTTATTTTGCATGATGAACTATGAATGTGTCTTTTACAGTTAATACAATCATATTATAAACAAATGTGATTAAATTAATTTATTTACATATAATATCTAAAATAAGTGTTCAAACAAACAACTATCTACGAGGTTATCATTTATCTAAAATAGTTATACGATAAGTAGTACCTAAGTAATAAGTACGAGTAGATTAACCGATCACAGTAAGTACTAAGGTTTATAGAAATAACTAAATAATACCTACTATAATAAATGAATGAGCGGGAAATGAAAAAATGATAAAAATGTATAATAATAATAATAATAATATGTATTTTTATACTAAAAAATATTTTTTGACACCGTGGCTGGTCTAAACCAGATATTTGATAATCATATTAGGCACCATATAATAAGTACTATTATGAATATAATTTGTGTACAAATTATACGAAATGTCTTATTATATAGATAACTTTAATGTTCTTCAATATTATGAATAATATTAATATGATAAATTAGTTTTTATCTTTAAATATAAAACGAAATTATTAGTAAATTTAAGATAGTTATTTTCTATTAAATTGTCTGTGTTCTACAAATTTAAAATTAAAACTGTTATTAACAAAAAAATTTTTCCAGATAACATGAAAATGCTAAATAAAGTAAATTTGAAATATTAAAATTTCTTAAGTTAACGTAGAAACAATTGAATGAAATCAAAATTTAGTTCATTATTAAAAAATCAAACTAGTATGTTAAATTGATAAGTTAAAATGAGCCTATATTTTTAAGCTGTATCTATAATACTGAGCTCCGACTGCAAGTCGTTAAGATATTATAAAAAGACGCATAGCCATATAGGTAAGTTAATTTTTAATACTTTATATGTGTTGAAATATAAAATTGAGAATAGAGCCGGATTAGATACTTATGCTATATTCAGTCGACATATATATAGATACAATATCTTATTTACTACGGGCAAAGTATACTTGGACCATTCAAATTTTTGACATTTAAAATGATTACACAAAAAGACTTTTTTCTGTCAGATTTCAGTGTAGACGAACATTAAATTTTAAATTTTAATCTTTGATAAAAATACTTAATAACTTAATATAACGTGTAATAATTATATTATTCTCGTTATTAAATTTTAAGACTTGTGATATGCTGATACATTTTAAATTTAAAAATAATAATTAATAATAATAATAATAAATAATGTCGAATAAAAAATTTTTGTTAAATATTATATTAATGTTTTTTTTTTAAATATTTTGACTTTTATAATGCATAAAAATGGAGCTCTAGTTATAATTATATAATATTTTAATTATATTATAATAATTTTATTATTATAAAATAATCCAATAAATAAGTAGTAATTGAAAAATAATAAATTTCTACCAGTATGAACTTTTGACCAGTAAAATAATGTATTATTTTCCTAAAACCAAAATCGGCAAAATCAATATAATTATTGCAACTCGTTGAATAGTACTTAGTAGTTACATAGTAAGTAGTCGTACCTCTGCTAGTAAATAGTAGGTAATAAAACGGGTTTTCTAATAAAGTAGTACCTATAATTATAATGAAAATGGAAAATAATATTAATTCACAATTGTATATAATTTATAATTTATTAATTTTTCTGATTTATCACTTTGACTACGAACAATTTATAGTTTATTAAAATATATATTAAGTTAACGAATTATTTTAGTCTATGAATGGTTATATTTTAGTAGATACGTGATTGATAATTATAGACAATAAAAATTAAACATTTCAAAAATTCGAAATAATTTTAGTAAATATTATTATAAATTATTATAAATAACAGTTGAAATGCGAAGAATCCAAGAATATATAGGTACATGTATTATTATATCATATTCACACACACTTAGGTATACATTATTCGATATCTACGTAAATGTTATATAGGTAGTTAACTTACAGGTTGCGAGCCTTATGTGGTTCTCATCATTGTCAGATGAGGCTAACGTCATATTTATAAAATCAAAATTTACTTATTAGTTATTATTATAATAAATTTTAATTTTTTAGGTATTAGTTTATAAAAAAATATCAAATTATATAAAATGTGTCTACAAACATTTTGGCTCTTGGTATCAATGTATTTATTTAGATCAGTTTGGGTTTGGACGTATTACCAGTGGCGAAACAAACCTAAAATAACCTATAAGCGAATTAAAATTTACACACCCACCAACCCACTTACCAATTACCATCTATACTTAAAATATTTTTTTTTTAATTAACGTTTTTATTAATAAAATTATGTAGGTGAATTTATGTATTGTACATATTATTGTATATTATTATTATTATTGTTGTTGCTGGAAAAAATAAATAAAATAAAATATAATAATGAAATAATCACATTATATAAGACTAGGGAGTTTTTTTATTCGATAGTAGTATATTTATTAACATATTTAAACAGTAACCTAGATAGTAATACAGTATTATTATGTTGAATTGTCAACTAAAAAAAAAGTTAAAAATATGAAATTAATTATTTATACATCAGCTGTTTTTTTTAAACACCTGAAGTCATGGCAATCTTATCTATGGCATAATATATGAATTTATTCATTAGTTCTATCACTTCCGTCTGCCGTTACTGCCAATTGTCTTTACTCGTAATATATTTATATACCTACATAAATTGTAATAAATACTAGTATTAGTAGTACTGATATTTAGTTATTATTGGTCACTTTCATATTGGCACCCACCCACTCCTAAATCTTAAAAAAAATCGAGAAGCAATCGCTTCTCAAACATCACGTTCGTTTCACCACTGCGTATTACATCTAATATGCATACGAGTAAGCGTTCCGGTTCATTCGCCGTCTGCATTCGTTTCAAAGGAACAATTCGTTTATTAACGATTTATCACTACCATTAAATAAATAAATACAAATAATATATAAATCGTAGAATAATAATTGCGAATGAAAATTTGGATTTGACTTATTTTATATCATATCGGTGGAATAAACATTTACTTGTTCAAATATTGCGATGGAACTTTTGTACTAGGTAGCCAAATGCCAATATAATATACAGCGACATCGTGACAAGTAATAACGCCATTAACTGGGCTAAGCAATAATAACGAAAACACATTGATCAATATCGGTTATATTATTTACTATGTAGGTATTTAATATTTAATATTTATGCACGCAATCGCGAGTGGCGACAGAAAGCGAAAACTAAGGACGCGAGATCGCGAAGACAACGCAGAAATATCTATCTCGTCGAAAACGGGCAGCCGTCGTAGCAGCAGCGGCTAGCCTGCTGATAAGCCATTAACGATAACGGCAACGACATAGGCGATTTAATATTGAAATAATTAAAAGGTTTATTCATCGATCGTTGGGGGGGGGGGGCGACGACGTTGATTTATTGCGAATTATTAATAATAAAAAAATAAAAAAATAAAAATATTATACTATTATTTATTAAGTTATCTACGCGGATTACGTTACGACAATATTATTAAGTATTGGCAAATTAATGTTGTAGTAGTTGTTGATAACGGGAGAAAGAGCGTGCGCGCGCGTGGCCCGGCCTGTTGATTGCGGCGTCGGCGGCGCACGATAACTATTATTCATTTTTTCGACAACCATTGGGCCATCGGAGTGTCGGTCCAACTACGTAACGTCGTTCGGCGTTTCGCGTGTTCCGTTTCCGTTATCCGCAAACCGCGTGCTGTCCGCGCTACTCCCGTACCTCTCTCCGCTACAACGGCGCGCACAGCTTCCGTCCGCCACCGTCTTTGGCCTTCGTTCGGTATTGATTTTTTGTCCGATTATATACTCAGCCGCGTCGGCGGCGTATCGCGATTGATTTCGGCGCGGCCGTACACAACCCACAGGCGCGCGCGGTGCACACGTCGACGGCAGCGGCACGTCGGACGCTAAACGCCACCACCGTCATTCGCCGCTCGTCACGCGTTCACGCACGTCGTCTCTCGTCGTGCCGCCCGCCGTTACCGTCGTCACCGCCGCCGTTCAGCTTCGACGGTCACGTTTCACAGCCTCATGGAGGACATCTTCTTGCGTTCGTCGTCGTCGTCGTCTAGCGACGATGAATCCGGGCCCGTCATCATCGCGCCGCCGCTTGAAGACGTCATACCCTTAGACGACAACGTGATCGAAATGTTGATGATGGAGGATAGTCTTATCCGTGGTCAAAGCAACAACAACTTCAACAGCAGCCATGGTTGTATTCGCCGCCGCAATCGCCGCCGTATGACCCCCGTCGGTGCCAGTATCATCGACGTAGCCGCCATGGACCGCGCCGCTGAGGAAAACGCTGCTGCTGCCGCCGTCGCCGCCGATGTTGCTGCCGCCGCCGCCACCATCAATATCGCCGCCACTGCCGATACCGCTGCCACCGTCAATGACGCCGACCACTCCGATATGGCGTCCGCCAACAGTGAATTGGAGAAAGTGCGCACTCTCAAGGGAATGTTCAATTTCGCCAACAACTTAACCGCCGGTTCATCCATAGAACAAGAAGCCAAATCGACTAGTTTTACTGAGGAAGTGAGTATCTCTACCTTTTTACTCTTCATTTACCTACAGTACTGTCTCGTGACGATGATATTGGGTACCAGCCATTCTGTATTATATCCGTCTTACGATGACGACCGATTGCTTAGATTTCTGATGACTACCGGCGGGCGTAGTACACTGCGTTTCCCACTTTTCATTATCGTTTCCAACTGTGTAATGCTGCTCATACTTTACTCCATCCAGTTCACTTTTGTGGTTTTTAAACCAAATCAAGTTAAATAAAATTATATCACAATTCTACTATCCATCTTAGTCCTGGAATTTGATATTTATTATTATTCATTGTTTTTTTTTTTTTTATAATTGTTACGGTTACTGATTATCTGAACAAACTGTTTGAGTTATTATTGCGTCTCTGATTCAAATGTATTATACTAGTTTAGTCTCGTGTTAAAAATCATATTGCTGCAATTGTGAATCAGTCATAGAAATAACTTTTCTTCCAGATTTAGAACCGTAATTTATGATCTAGCAATTACCAATTATAGGTTAAAAAGAATGTTATTGTTTTCTTTTGCATATTTTTTTCTTAAATTTAATCATTTAATTTTTGTGATTTATAATAGTTTATTGTCTGGTTGAATAATTGTACAATTGTTTGTTGATATAAGATGTTGATCAGTGGAAATTTATAACATACTTAATACTATTCATTTATCCCAATATTTTTTCATTTTTTCTGTATTTGTTTTGTTTATGCAATTATTCTCAGTTATTAAATAATTTATTTTATTTTATTTTGGACTTGTCTTTTTAATATGGGTAAATGATTTTAGTGGCGTAGCCAGAATTTTTAAATGGTTTAGGTATATACTAAGGATAGGCAACTCAAAATTAATAGAGGACAACTTTTTAGAAAATTAAAAAATCTAATGGGTTAGAATATAGAAAGCAAAAAAGAAAAAAGGTTATTCAAAACATGTATTTTAATTAGAATGATTTTGTAAATTATATGATGTTATTTGAAAATGTAACACGAGCCAGATAAAAAAGGCTTGTGGGCTGCCAGTTGCTCATCCTTGGTATATACAATAGGTTATATGTAAAGCATATTTTTAATTTTGTTGTATTGTATTTTAAACATTTAAAGTCAAAAGTATTTAAACTTCATTACATTAACCGTAGTCTTCTTGTTTTGATCACTAATTTACTGAATAATTAAATAAAAATCAATAGGGGGGGGGGTACAACACCCAAAACCCCCCTGGCTACGCCACTGAATGATTTAAATATATTTTAATAAATATTTGTACGAGTAGAATATAACATGGAAATGATAAGTGAAAAGGATTCAAATGTGTTAATAGTTCGTGTTGTTGAAGGTTATATTTAGACTATAATTTTTGAAAAAACTTGGTTACTATAATTTTATATGGATCTAATTTGTTCACAGTTTAAAACATTTTCGACCAAACTCTTATGCAGTCCTATATTTGATGGTATTTTGGTATATATATTATATAACTTTATTATTCATAACTTCACATCAAGTACCAATTTTTATTCTGTTAAAATGTTTTCGATTGTTTAAAACTGTTTCGTTAAATACTTATCCAATCTAAATACCTACTTATTTATAAATTTTAATGTTTTTGCTATTAGTAATTGCTTTTTTTTATTATGTTTATAGAGTAAGAAATATCTTTCAAATGTTTTTTCAACCATGACAGTTAATGTACATGAAGAAATGAACAATTCTATTAACATTTTGTTTGACAATAAGAAACAAGTGGATGAACACGAATTCGCATTTGATGTTATTGCAGAATATGTTTACGATCTTGATTATGCTAACGGTAGGTACCAATGTTTAATTTAATTTTTCTTTTTATATAAACATGTGAATATAACCAAGAGTTTTTCAGATTTTGAAAAGCTTGGCGGTTTTCATATTTTTTTACCGTGCATCCGTTCTGAGCATCCATCTGTGCGCATTAAAATATGCGAATTGATTTCTTCGCTGGTTCAGCAAAATCCATACTGCCAAGAAAAGTTCATGGAAAATCCAAAATACCTTAACGCATTGATGTCTATGGTGGAAAATGATCCTAACGATGATGTGCGTATTAGGGCACTATCTGCGATTTCATGTGAGTTACAAATAAGTTGTAATCAATTTAATCATTATATTTTGACAAAATGTATGGTTTAATATTTAAATTTCTTAGGTCTTGTTCGTGATAACATATCTGGGTTTTGGAAATTCATTGAGGTTGGAGGTAAAGATTTGATTATCAACTCATTGAAAACGCCCATTGATAAATTGAAGATTAAAGCAATTTTCATGATCTATTCAACTTGTACTTTGGGTAATGATGTAGCAGGTATGTTATGATTGTTATACTACTATATAGTTTTTAACAATATTGATATTTACAGAAATGTATGTTGATATTGGTGTTGTTGAAATTATCTGTTCAATAATCATGGGCATGGAAAAAAATGTTGAACCATTTCATCATGATTTAATTTTATCAGCATTGAATGGACTTATCCGTTTGTCACCAGTCAGAGTTAAAGAAATATGCTCTTCGTTGGAGGATTTGAAACAAGCATTGGCATCATTAAAAGATTCATATTCAACAGATGAATCGAAATATCAGGCAAGATATTTCGTTTATAGTTTTTGATTTATAAACAAAAAGCAATACTTGAGTTTTTAAATTATAATATGCAAAATCAATACATAGCTTAAAATGTTGAAGAAAACAGCTAAATGGGGTCATGTTAAAATATTATTCATAACACATTTAAGACACATAGTTTCCCATCTCACTTTTTATAGAATTAAGACATTAGTTTCAATAGTATGACTAAAATATGTATTTTGTGCCCAAATTTCAACAATATTTTTATTATACCTAATAATTGAAACAAAACTTCAGAAATACCATTTACAAAAATGTTGTTAAAATATTATAGTTATAGGTACAATTTAAATGTATAAATATCTGTTCACAGTTTAAGAATATATTATTTATTATAAATATTAAATTAATATATTTAGGTGTAATAAAGAGAAAGTATAAAAAATAAAATAAAATTATTCCACAAGTTTGTTTGATATCATCATTATATTAATAAATTATTATATCTAAATTAACAGATTTATTTAATGAAATTAATATTTTTTGGTAAACCAATTGATCAATTAGAATGATGTTTCGTATGAAAAGTAAATTATTGACCAATATTTTCAAAATTGAGTTTTTCTTATAAAGATCAATCTATTTTATAATTGAACAGTTTAAACAAAAAGCTTAAATTTAAATATTTTATATGGTATTCTAGTAGATCTGTGGTTTTTTTATGATGATGTTATTATTTAACTATGTGTAGTTGATTAAGATAGAAAATATGAAAGCTAAAAGAATTCTATCATTATTTGAATACTTTGATGAGAAATATGTTGCGTATTTTGAAGATAGAATTTTCAAGTTATCTCTTCGTTGAGAAAAATACATAAATTTGAATGGTAACTATGTGGAAAAATAGGAAAATATGTTTAATTTATTATATAAAAGCTTTCAAGTAATTAATTCATTTTTCATTATTCTGTTAATTTTTGTACCTTATTTATTAGACAGCCTATGTAGTTTTTTTTCTCTAAAACTTATTTTTAATATATATATATTTTTTCCTATTCATAATATTTTAGTATACTCAACTACTTCATTATCATATTATCAAGTTCTTAAATAAAAATAAAAGTAATTAAATATCGCTATAGAAATATAAATTGTTCAACCTCTTGAATATATGTTATTCAATAGGTATTGATATAAAATTATTTTTGAATCAAATGAATATTGAACTATTTAAAAATATTGTAAGATTGTTTATGTTTTTACATAGTCAGAGTTATACTTAATTATGAATAAAGAGTAAAATCAAAAAAAAAAATAATAATAATAATTTTTGATAAAAAATGATTTAATAAACATTTAAAATTTTAATTTACATCATAATAATTATAAATATTGTTGTAATTAGATGATTAAAAAAAAAAAATAAATAATTTGAGGCAAAGGCAAATTTGATACCCAGGTTTAAAAGTTTATTAAAACAAGAATACTAGTTTTAGAATTTTTTTTTCTTAAATGCATTGATTTATTATTACTAAATATATTTATTTATTTACAGTTACTTATTCATTATAAAATTGTTCTTATATCTGCTTATTTGTCATACATTTTTATCCTTTTTAAAGATAATTTTATTAGTTAGTTCAAATTTCAACGCTTAATATTTTTAAATTGTTATATTATATTCTAATTATTTTACAGGATGAAAATGATCAAGTTTTGTGGTTGATGGAAACTCTAACATTGTGAAAGGACAAAGCGGCACATTTCATTTTACTTATTTTATTATGATATAACTTTTTCATACTTGTAATTGCTTTTAAAAAAAATTAAACCTATGATTCATTACGCTATTAATTTCACTTTATTTAATTTTTTGTATTTTTAGAATAATATAATTCTAAAAATAATTCATCCTATTACTGAAGTTGATTATTACAGTTAATTCAGATGGATATAATGGGTGTATATGATAAGATGTTTATTGTGTATGTTTAATTGATGTATGTGTTACATATTAAACAAAGAAGTTAAAAACTAAAATGTAGGAAATTTTATTTAAAATGAATTTATTTTCCAAATTTGTTGTCATTTCTTAATAATTTAAGTTTAATATGAATTTAATAATATAAAAATATTTTACATTATTATTGAACAGTTCATATTGTCTGTGATAAAATTGATATACAGTAAAACCTCTATATACCGGACACTCTCGGTCGCCTTAATTTTGTCTGTTATTTAGAGGTGTCCGCTATCCAGAGAGGGAAAATAACTTGTAGAAATTAATAACTATGTACAACATTATTTATATGTATAATAATGATAAATGTATATTATTTTTATTATTTTAATACAAATATTTATTATCCATATTATGTATTATTTAAAGTTATGATATTATTATCTATGTAAAAATTAATGAAAATGTAAACAAAAATTAACATTTATTGAAAAAATCAGTTACTTTAGCTTGTTACTTTATGCATAGTAATTTCATGTATCAAGGCATTTTTTAATTCGACTGCGTTGGAGAACAGTGAAGTATATCGATAGAAGAACATAAACTGTTGAAAAATCGTATGAAAAATGTTTTTATCGACGCGATAACAGACGGATTAGATAAACTATAATTGTACATAGTATAATAATGAATAGTAGTCAGATTATATAAGATAGTAAGATAGGTATTTATTGAGGCATTCCACGATTATTCAACATTTACGATAAAAATCGTCAAAATCAAAAATTAAATTGCCATAAAAGTGTCTGGTATTTAGAAGTTTTTCTATATTAAAGTGGTGAAAATGTCCCCGTTCTCAAAAAACGTCCGCTATTTGGAGGTATCTGTAATTTAGACGTGTCCGTTAAGGGAGGTTTCACTGTAATTTAGATATCGACAAAATTTTCTATAAAAATTCATAACATTACATTTCTTAGAGATTTTACATTGTTTTCAACATTGATAATAGTTGTATTTTAATTGTGTATTGGAAAAATAATTGTATTTTTCAAAACGGAATTTTCTCAATTGACTGAATTTTGTTAATTTGTTTTAACTTTCAACAAATTTTGTATAATACAAAAAATAAACATTTGGTATAAAATCTTAACTAACTCTTAATTTTTAACAACCATTCAGCTAATATTTATATTGTAAGAAATAAGGAACTATTGTTGTTGGAGTTTGGATGTTATTGCTTTATTTAATATTAAAAAGAATTAAAAATAATAAAAATTTTAAAATGATTTTATTTATTCAATTTTATAATTATTCACATCTAAAAAAAGATAAGTAAAGATTAATTTAAAATTAAAATTTAATATTTAATTCAATCTATTTTATATCATTGAAAAATAATTCATGTAATATAAAACTCTTTACTTAAAAACTGTTTGATAATAAATCAAAAAATGTATTCCCGCTTATAATGATATAATTTATTTTTAAAAATGTAGATATGCCTAATACAATTTTGAAATATACATGTACATGATTGTAATAATATCTTTATTCATCGCATTTTCTTTTTAAAATATTTTTAATCTACTATAATTTGATAATTAAAATCATGTTTATAGCTGAAAACTGTACAAATTGCATGTTTTTAAACTCAAAGAAATAAAAATATGACATTCAAACTCTATTTTTTATTTTTATTTTTTATGAATGTGTATTTATAATCTATTACTATAGTCTGTTACAATTTTAATTTCCAGTTTTGAGAGCAGTTCTTATGAATTGTTTTTCTTTGTTTGTGGATCGCTTTCCACTGTTGTATACTATTAAGGTATATTTTAATTAAAAAAAAAAGTACCTTTATATTATTATATTTATAAATCATTTTTATTGACCACCTTTTTTTATTAGTCATTCTGACGTAATTTCAAAATCATATTTTATACATTAATATGAGTGTTTATTTTTAATAATTTATAATATAACAATAATGATTGACATGTTTTAATATTATATTTTCTATTACTATTCAAAGTCGCTAATTTACCTATCTATTTATAAGTCTTATTTGTTTAAATGATACTAAATTATAAATCTATTTAAAGTTAATGAAAATACAAATTAATCCAATACATTTATTTAAAAACAATATATTTTTCAATATTAAAAATTGATTATTGAGCTATTCATAACTTAGATTTTGCTTGTAGTTAAAAAAATAAATAATATTATTTGTTTAATGAACGCCTAATTATTGTTCATAATAGATAATATATGAAAATATTACTTATTACACACAACGATTATTGATGTAATATATTTAACAAAATCAAAATTTATTAAATAGTGTCTCATTCTATAGGTTACCTATACTTAAAAAAAAATAAAATAAAAAAATACTGAAATTACAGGTGTATAAATTATAGTATAAAAACCATGTTTATTTTTATTTGTAATTAAAAACATTTATCAAGTTAGGTATCAATTAAATGATGATATATCTATTAAAAGTCTTGGATAGGATAAAGATTAACCTACCGGAAAAGATGATCATTTAGGAATTGTCATCATTCCCGAGTTATTGTTGACAATTACTGTCTATTGATGATGTTAGGCACTGTTGAATATTTCCGTATTATTTTAGGTAATTTTATAAATTGACACGAGTACACGACTGATCGAAAAGGCTATAAATAATCATAACTAGGTTTTATGTTGTCGACTTTTCGATATTTATTTTTATTGCTAATAATAGTCATAATAATTGATTATTGTGTGTTTTAAAATTCTGTGTATCGTATCGTGACAGTCTAAGAATACTTTGGTAGAGATAGTGGTGTTTGTGCCGTGTTCACAGCTACACAAAACAATATACAGTGAAAACAAATCTGAAGGAACCAAGCGATTTCTTTCGTTATAGAGAGTTTTCGCAATAGAGAGGGTAAATAAAAAAAATTATATAAATACAATTATTTATGTATAAATGTACCAATGTAATATTATTCATCATACCTACTTATTATTATTTTTAAATTATATGTATTATATTTTATACAATTATTTTAAATAATCTGTCGTCTTTGTCTGGATTTGTTTTATTTTTTAATTTGCCAATATTTATTTTGTATTTTTCTATGAATTTGTCCCGTATTTTGGGATAACTTTGGATCATCTCCATGAAACAATAAGTATTTTCTAATAATTTGCTGCATTAAGTGTTTGTTGAATACCTACTTGGTATTACAACTTTGTCTGGTTGTTCTTCTTTATCTTCCTTTTGCTTTTCCTTGCCTCTTGTCACTGCGTTTAAGATTTTTCCATCAATTAACGATATTGTTGTAACCTCCAGGTTCTCGTCTATTTTTACTTAATTATGAAGATCCTCAGCAGTAAAAGTATGCGGATAGTATTGAACTGAATAATCCACAAACTCAGTGGTATATCATTTTCTTTCTCAAATTGTTCTATTTCTTCTTTAGCATTGGCAAAACTACTTTATTTTATTATAAATAAATACTTATGATTTAATAAATGTAAAATTTTCGAAAAAAATGTATAAACCTACTGTAATAGTAATAGTAAAATAAACGACTTTAATAGTTATAAGTTATAACAATAAAACATACTTAGTCATAAAGGGCTGACAGATCATTTTCGCTTAGAATCGTTTTTCGTATGCAAATATACAATGATAATAATATATCATTGAATTCAAATTTAACACATCCATAATAGTAATCTACTCGACACCTAATGTACACCAGAGCAGTTACCCACTTGCTTACCTTTTTTTAAACTGTTTTTAAAAGTTTTTATTATTTGATAAAATAAAATGAACTTTAGCCATAATATTATGTCAAAAAATAAGTTATATACTACAGTTAAGAGATTTTTAGACTTTAAAAAGGACCTTGCATATGCAAGTGCGTACTGTAGATAAGTTGGCTACTAAATTAGTCATTGAGGAGTATCCAACTTGTTTATTTTTTTGAAGTTGTTTTAACATTTTTTAAATACATTATTAGATTTTTAAGATAATTATATTAATTAATTTTTACTAAATGAAAGAAATTTTGCAACTTATTTTAAATTTTAATATGAAAATAAATTTAAACTACATAAAAATAGAAAAAATTGAATGATTAAAAAAATATTGATTTTCCAAAATATTTTTATTTTTAATCATAATACAATTTAATGTCAATAATTTTTTCACGAGAATAGAATTTTTCTATTAATTGTATTGTATTTACTTTCATAATATTTTATTATTAATTAATGTTAGTATGTATTTAATATTTATTGTATACATACATTTCCACATTGATTTTGCACTAATTTTTATTACATGTATGGCTTACATACTGTACACTATGGTTTCGATCATTTTATATTATTAATTCAATACCTAAATATCGCAACGTGTTGGTTTTATGATGATGTACTTATGTTTTTCTAAAATTTATTTTTTGTTAAAGAAACTTTTTATAGCTTCTATATTGTAAATTATTGAGACCTTTCAAAATAAATGGGAAAAACAGAAAAAAAACTTTGGACAAAACAGAATTACATTAGACTAGTTTTTAACAAAATTGATTTTGTTTTTTAATAGTATTTCAAACAGTAAATATCGTATAAACTTGGCTCCTTTACTAATATTTAGTTTTAATTATTTTTTAAATAATTCTAAAAATTTTAAAATTATTTTCGATATTTTTATGCTATCTATATAAATCTCAACTGTCTTTTTTTTTCTATTTGAACGTTTAGATAAAATATTTGTTTTTAGATAAAAACACTCGAACATTATTAATAAAATATGATCAAATATTTTAAAGGTGTCTAACGTATCTAACGTCAAATTTTGGAGTAGTAACAATAAAGCTTAAATGTTTAACTTTGATGGTTGTTTCTGGTGTAAGATATTGGATCTTGTTGGTACTTTTTGTGATCAATTATAAAAAATGTCTAGTCAATTTTTAAAATAAGTGGGAAATACTAAAAAACAAATAACTGCATGAGTCCTTAAAAATTGAGGGTGATACATTGTCTTTGCTTAAAATTGTTTTTTATACGCAGTGATTAAAAATTAACATTAAATTAAAATTCAACACATGTATTACAGTGATCTACTCGATTACGAGGTCGATCCAATTGACGCCTACGTACAAATATTACATAGCAGAGAAAATTTTTCAATACAGGTATCATAAAAATGTTATTTCGAACATAAGTATTTATAAATGCTAGGTATTTTTTTATTTTCAGCAACTATAGATAATAGGTTGATACTTAAATTACGTTAAATTTACTTAGGTAATGTGTGTAAACAGGTAAACTCTATTCTTTATCACCTCGAAAAAATACGCAGACGAAACAAAAAAGTATGTTGCGTTTATCACAACCACTAATAGTTAAGTAAATTTATAATATCAATTACTCTGAAATCTACGAGTAAATGTTTCGTCTTTATAGATTTAATTGATTGATAAACAAGGAGTAGGCTTTTTGTTTAATGTTTCATCATACTAAAATAGCTTAATAATTCATAAACGTACAATATTTTGATGCCATAATATAAATATTTAATTAGAAATACAATAAATTTATGACGCACCACACAAATTTACGTAATGAATAACATATTAACGTGTGTCGCCTGATGACTGAAACTAGTCTCCCGGGCTCCGTATCAAAACCATTATTGTGGCGACTCCCCCCCCCCAAACTTTATTTTTACCACCTATCTATAAGGATTGAGACGATGATTCAGTGAGAAAATTTTTTCAGATTTATTATCATATTAACTATGTTTATGCCCCCCCCCACACACACACACAAAATAATAGTTGGTATCATATTATGCAGTAAATTTTGACTAACTATAATCAATTTAATTAAAATATGACGTAAACATGTGTAGGTAATTCATAATTTTTTTAATTTAAAAAACTCGTAATAACGAAAAAAATTTCAAATTTAACGACATGACTTGGTTTTTTAGTGCTATTAGATTCTAAAATTGTTGAATTCATTTTACTTTGAGTGTTTATGCATATAAAAATAATATAGAAATAGGTAGGTACAACCTATATTCTGTATTCAGTAAAAATATTGTCTAGCGTCATGTCATGTACCTATACAATATTCTTAGAAAGTTCGTTTGACGTGTATCGTCGGTAAAGTAAAGCACTTTAATATTAAAACACCTGTCGATTGTTTGTTCGGTTGTTTACTGTGCTATTATTGCCGACGTGACTGATAATGGAGTATTGACGAGTGGACGTCAAATTATAACAACAATTTATTGTGACACGTTCAACAAAGAGCTTCTGCAGTCCTGACCGTCATGGTAAAAATGAAACGGCGTGTAAGACATAAGTAGTAATAATACCTATACATGGTTACACGGAGTTTTGGGAATAACTAAGTACAGTAATAAAACTTTTGCGAAATGCGCTAAAACCCTGACGATTTTCTATACTTATAAGTGCTGAATTACACACGGTTTTCCTTTAGTAAAACAACGTATAGATATATAACCAAGATATGGTAACAAAACTTCACTAGGTACAATAACAATAATAAAATAATATTATACTTGTGTATAAGAAACGATAAATAATATTATTCCGTTAAGCTGATTGTAACATGGCGTTCTGGATAGGCAATATATTAGCTACATATGGGGTCCATCGCGGATAGTTTAAGTACTCCATTAACCTAAATACGTCGATTTAATGTTATACACTAATGATATATAACATTTTAAATATCTATACAGAGTGTTTTTCCAAGCATTTTTTCATTCAACCATGCATTATATATATTTTAAATACTGTAAAATCCACTTAATGCGGACAAATCGTCAGAGTCCCTAACAAATGTATTTATTTTGGGGACTATAAATTCGTTTATTGGAGACAAATCATCAGTTATAACTCATAAAGGACATATAATAATTTATATATATCTAATTTCTATGTTTCTATCACATTTTATATGATAATCGTATGTTATAAACTTATTAATAATAGCAATTACTTACATATTTTACTTTATAATTAATTATTTTTTTATCTCCTACAATTTACATGTCCCGTGAAGATAATTGAATTGACTAGCCTGCGTACAAAATTACATATTCGATTTTTCGGATCTCTGTATGTACGTTCTGTTTTTATTAATCTCAGTTTGTGTTAATATGTAACAATAATGTCTCGTAAAGATTTAATGTTGATTGCAAACATTTCTGCACCGGATAAAATAAAAACTCAACCTCAAAATATTAATGTCAGTGAGTTAAAGAAATTAATAGATACTTCTAAATTAGTAAATCTTGTAAATAAAGTTATTATGTATAATACGCACTTTAATAGTTTTTTAAATATTTAAAAAAAATCGATTAATTGGTACAGTCGCAATATGGGGGAGGGGACATATAGGGCGGTGATCCTATGTGTCCCCATTAAGTGGATTCTACTGTAATTATGATTTTTATGTTTGAGATTGAGTACTTAGTTTTTATATCTCAGTTAAGATTTGATCTGGGATGGTACACAATGTTTTTTTTTTTTTGAAATGAATATCAAATAATGTATACCAAAATTAACATAATACATACAATTATATAAATGTTGATACAAATAAATTGAAACTTGGGAGATTAATCTCTCAATTATTAAAAACAATTTTATAATTTTATTTACTAAGAATAATACTATGTAACAATGTAGGTTTAAACATGATGATTTTTAAATTAAAAGTAATTTTTATGATAATACATATATAAATATACGATATACATATACATATCGTACATTAATATTTTGTTTGAAATAATTGTTCGAATATAAAAATTAATAAGGGCTAGATTAAAATATAGTTAATTTATTTTATAATATTTAATTTAAAACTATAAAGACTATTATCTTTAGTATA